ATGCCTGTAGTCCCAGCTACTTGGGAGGCTGAGGCAGGAGGATCGCTTGAGCCCAGGAGTTTGACGTTGCTGTGAGCTAGGCTGATGCCACGGCACTCACTCTAGCCCGTGCAACAGAGTGAGACTCTGTTTCAAACAAACAAACAAACAAAAAAATTCCTATTCCCATCCTCCACAGAACAGCTCCACTTTCCCTGTGTGACTCCAGACCACACCTCAGGCCTCCCCGCACCTGAAGCCACCTGTCAAGGTGTTTCCCCAAACACGATGACCCTGTCCCTCAGGGGGGCGCTGGCAGGGAGTGTTGAAATCACACACTTTTAACCCTACAAGTGATCCTTAAAGACACCGGGTGGGATATTTTCCCATGAGGCTGAGAGAGGACAAGGGACCCCGACCCCCTGAAGTCAGAGATGGTCCTTCTCAGGCCACACTTGGAGCTCAGACAAAAGTCCCCTGGTCCAGCGCTCATATCGCCCGTCATCCGCCAACCCTCGAGGCTGCAGCCCCCCTCTGTCTGCAACCCTCTGCTCTCCTAGGTTGGCGCGGTAGTGGCTTTTGCTCTGCTGTCATGTCCTATTTCTTCAAGAGACACCGGAAATCGGCGTCCTCCGACCCAGAAGACATTGAGTACCACAGGTGAGCCCCAGAGCTCCTCAGAGGGTGCAGAGATGCCCCAAAGGGTGGAGACTGGCGGGTCTTTGAGGTTCTTGTTCCCTGCCCAGGAGCAGAGGAGCCCCACGGGATCTCTGTGCCTCAGTGCCTCCCCTCCTCCCCTAATACCCCTCCCATGTGTCTGTCTGTCCAGGAGAGACGAGTGGAAGTCAATGAGCAAGCAAGACCCAGCTCGTTTGCGCAGCGTTCCAATGAAGTCTTAAACCCCCGAGAAGCAAAAGCTAAAGATGCTAGAAGTGTCTCTCATGGGCACCAAAAGAAGTCCTTCCCTTCTGGCCCTCCATGACCCTGCTTGTCCCTGTCCTGACGACTGAGGGAAATGTCTCTGCAGCTGTTTGCGTAACCGACGCCACGCTCCAGTTCAGCATGCACTCTGCAACTCGGCCTGCTAGACCTCGCTGTTCCTCTCGAGAGAAAATGGAAATGTAAGATGGATTTTAACAGAGGCCCCGCCTAGGGCATATGCATCTGTGTGGGGGGCACCCATGCCTGGGGCCTTGGGGGACACCCCTCCATGTGCTCCCCTGCACGTGAGCTTGTGGGCTGGAGGAATAAATATCTAGATGCTTAACCCTATCTTCAATCACTGCTTCATTGAATAAACATGTGTGAGCATTTGATGTGTTCCAGGCTCTCTTGGTGGCAGGAGGGTGGACAATGGTGAGCATGACACAGTCCTTCACCTCCCTCAAGGAAATTCTGGCTCAGGAGAGAGGACACCATGGGGGAGTTTTCCCGCACACAGGGCAGCGTGAGGGACACACACAAGGAACCAGAGCCGCGTGAGATTCACGCTGGCAGTGGCGCGGCGAGGAAGGAGCACAGTGGAGAACGGGTCTGGCTGGGGAGGCACCATCTGAGGGGGGCGTTAGAGGACAGAGGGGGTTTCCTCCGTGTCATGAGGCCCCACACTGCTTGGAGGAGCTTTGGGGAGAGTGAGCCACCCACTGAGACGCCCAGTCCTTTGTCCCCTGCTACCACGGGTGTGATGGAACTCGGGAAGGTCCAGGGTCTCCGGATCAGAAATCTCCAGTCATGAGGCTAGTATTATACAGCGTTGTTTGAAAATATAGACTCTCATTCCAGAGAGAGAGGGCTGTGTCTATAACTTATCTATTTACGGAAGATAGTCTAAATAATGTCATCCACGGTGATCACTTGGCATCCACGGGTCACATTCTGATAGGGACAGCATCACCTCTGACATCCTGGCGCTGTCAAGCTTTCTGTAGCTGCGGAAGCACTGCAAGGCTGTCTGGTTTTTATTTGCTTGGGGTTTTTTGGTTAATAAATACACAACATGATTTGGCTCTGGCGAATATTTTTGGCCTCCGAGTTGATCTGGCAAGTTCCTTCCCAAGGCTTATAGTCGCAGGTCCGTCCCCTGCTGCACCTGCGTCTTCTCTGACAGGGTCCTCGGAAGCCCGGCACCCGCTCGGGAAGAGCTGAGGCTCCAGGGCCTCAGGTGGCTTTTCATTTGCTAGAACTAGACAGGCCTAGGAATCCCTCACCATCAGAATGGGTTTGACAAATGGGGGAAACACGGGACGAGCAACATTCCGGTTCCGGAGCAGCCCTGCGCGTGCCTGGAGGTAGCCAGGACGTGAGTGTGTGGGGCTCCCTGGGCGGCCTGACCTGCACGGACCACCCTCCGAGGGCTGGGCGGGCAGAGCGAGTCTGCCCCTCTCTCCACGTCCCTCCTACTGGCGCCTCCCCTGCCTGTGTGAGTCAGGGCTCTGCAGAGACACAGAGCAACAGGCTGGGCAGGTGGGGCCATGGACAGGTAGAGAGAGGAGAGGGAAGTATATGAGGGGGATGGGCTCACATGATGAGGGAGCTGACAAGTCCTGTGACAGGCCGTCCACAAGCCAAAGACCCTAGGATGCCAGCAGCACGGCTCAGTCCACGCGCAGTGGCTCAGAGCCAGGGAAGCCCGTGCTGTCCCTCAGTCTGCGGCCAAAGCCAGAGGACCCAGGGCATTGCTAGTGTGTGCCCTGGAGTCCAAAGGCTGCGGAGCCTGGCGTTGTTGTCCAAGGACAAGGGAGGAAGGGTGTGTCCCAGCTCCGGCAGGGACAGCCACACGTTTGCATTTCTCTGTGTTCTCTCCAGGCGCCCAGGGGACTGCGTGGTCCCATCCACGCTGAGGGCGGATCTTCTTCCCCACCTCACTGAGGCTCACAGTGTCCTCTCCCCAGGACACACCCTCACATGCACACCCAGCAACGCTGCTTCGCCGGGTCTCTAGGTGTCCTTCATCCAGCCACGCTGACACCTGGCATTATCCTTCACACGGCCCGGCCCGTCACACCCTCATTCTGCAGAACTCCCGTCCTCACCCCGACCCTCCTCTGCGTTCCCACAGCCTCCTTCCTGACCTTGCCGACCTTTGAGTTAGCTAAGGCACGGGGGACATCGCTCACCTCCTGCAGTGTGAGTCATCCCAGGGGAAGCACTTTCTAATACACTGGTGCTTCTCCACACAGGGGCACCTGCCACCTGCCACCTGCCCTGCTGAAATCACCACGGAGCTTGTTGGAACACAGTCCCTTTCCTATCCTGCCATGTGTCCTATCAGTCCCGTGTTCTAGACCCCTCGGCCCAGAGGAGACCTCACGCCATCCTGGGGTGACAGCTCAGTGCCTCCTGTGGGTGTTCTCTGCTCCCTCCCCCAAGCTGTCACCTGCAGGGCCTGTTCACTTCCAGCCTCTCAGAGCAATGAACATAAAAGCTGGAAGAGGCCTTGGAGGTCTGGGCTCACCCAGCTATTGGGTCAATGAAAACAGAGTAGGGAAGTTGGACATTTGCCCAAGGCCATCAGCCCAGCGGGGGCACAGCCAGGACCAGAACCAGAAGCCAGACACCCAGTCCAGGATCTCTGCCAAGGCGGAGCCACGTGGCAGAAAGGGCTGGAGGTTAAGGGCAGGAGACACGGTCTCTACCTCCTAGCGCCCACCACTGTCAACTGGCGTTCTCCCCCAGGTCCCCCCCACCGACGGTGCTGCTCTCCCCAAAGTCCCCCACGCCCTGTCTGTTGCCAACCCCAGAGCTTCTGTCTCTGACCTTAGCTTACTGGCCATCTGCAGGTTTGGACCCAACAAACCACTGTGTCCCTCAGACGCTGTCTCCTGGTCGTGCTCCGGCTGCCCCAGAGGCCTCCTCCTCCTCCTGGGCGAGCAGCTCTTTGTCCTCTGTGCCTCCAACGTGGTGGCCCTTGGCTGCTTCCCGGCCGCTGTCCGCAAGCCGGTGTCTTGGAGGGAGCTGCTGTGCGTCCCATCGTGCTGGTCAGGGGGTGGCTGTGCCGCAGTGTGTACGCCAGTCGGCCCTGGGTCCCAGGCTGGCGTCCTCCAATCACGGATTCAATTCAGCCACTCTCTCCCTGGGTTGGCATCAGATCCCACAGGTTAAAGGTCGAGTCCCACAACACTGTCCCTACTTCAAATGCCAATGACAAGTCTAGGTCCCTGGGACTCCTGACCAACCGGCTATAAATCAGGGCTTCTCACATGCCTCCTCCGGTGGTCCGGGAACTCAGGAAAGGGGTTTCCTTCCGTGTCCTGGTCTATCATAAAGCCCCGGACCGAGGGTGCAGTGAGCCGCAGACGGACGAGACGCACAGGGCCAGGTGTGCGGAAGGGCTGGGGGTGCCCTGCCTTCTCCAGCCGCACCCCCCCACCCGATCAGCAGCCCGGAAACTCTGTGAACCCTGCAGTTCAGGGCTTTTCTGGAGGCTTCCTGACACAGGCCCGACTCATCAAGGCAGTGTCCAGGCCCTCTGCCCTTTCTGGAGCACGTGTGGGGACGGGGCTGAAAGTGCTCAGCTTCCCGTGCAGCCTGCAACGCCTAAAATATTTCCTATCCAGCCTTTTCCAGAAACAGTTCCCCACCCTGGGGATTCACGATAACGATGGTGGTAAAGTCACTGTCCTTGTGCACCAGAATCACGATGTTCCAAGTCACCAGCTCACAGGGGGATGAAGTGGCCGTTACCCTCCCCGCTGCCCCGCACCCCTATAAATAAAGGGTCCCCTGGTGATGAGCCGGGAACCGGCAGACACTGCTTTGGGCAATGTTTAATTGTGCAGGCTTTTAGTTAGTCAGGAAGTTTCAAAACAAAGTTTGAGCTACCCCGTGGAAAGGAGACAGAGGCAGGATAAATTCCAACCCGTTAAAACCAAGTGCTGGAGCAATGGACCTCCTCTGGCCCTGACAGCTTCACTAGGCACTTCAGTACCAGAACCTTCCTGGGAAACTACCCAATGCCTGCCTGACCCCAGGATACTTCCTATTCAAACATATTTAGTCAAAAAAAAGGGAGTCTCCCTAATTCCATGAAAACACCACTTTCCAACAAATGACATGAATATTTCTCCCCTTGTTTAGCCTGTAATTAAGCTAATTAAATAGAGGCACTTAAGGAACTGCGAGCGCCAGTTTCTGCTCTGCTGCGGAGCAGATTTTCTGCATTTCTGAATGAATCTCCCTTTCGCTTTACGCTGGCAGCTGGCTCCTGAGTTCTTTCTTGTGCGAATCCAAGGACCCGAATGGACATCAAGTGGCTCCCAGCATCGGGTGTCGCTCTGCCGTGTCAGAGACAGCGATTTCTGCAAGGGCACAGTGACCGCCGAGGAAGTGCACGGGGATGTCAGTGCCCAGCACAGAGCTGTTTAATGCCCCCACCAGGTGGTGACAGTGGGAACAACCAGGCGGATTGGGGACAGGGATTGCAGGCAAGAGCTCTGGGGTCATGGGTGGGTCAGCCTGCACAGGGGAGCCGAGGAAGCGGGAAATGAGGACAAGGGCACAGTTTCTGGCTGCAGTGACTGAGGGACAGTCACAGGTGGGGTTTGGGGACCCACCAGTGGAGCTGCCATGGCAGTCCTCACAACAGTACTCCAGGTTAATACCACAGTATCGATACTAGAGTATTAACAGCATTCTCCTATTAATACTGCAGCACCCAGCATTTCAAAGGGCTTAGCTCTTTATGTCCTGACAGCGAGCCTGACAGTCCCCCCGTCTGCACGTGGGGACCTGGGCTCACAGAGTTGAGGTGACTTGTCCAACTTGTCCAGCATCACGTCAGGAGTGAACCCAGGTGCGTCACGTACCTGAAGAGCACCTCTCGGTCTGGAAAAACATTCCAAAGCGACATCAGAGTGGGACACGGGTGGGGACCACGTTGTTCTGAAAGGCCACATAGCCAGTGGGGTTCCCGCAGTGACCTTGGCCAGCGAGAGACTTTCTTCACACCAGTTCACCCTTCGGAGACTGTTTCCTCCACCAGGAAAATGGGGCAGGTGGCCCTGTCTGGTCTGTATTGCAGGGTACTTTTGCCCCGTCCGGTCTACACTGCCGGGTACATTTGCCCCATCTGGTCTACATCGCAGGGTCCTTTTGATAATTACATGAAAGGGTGAGTGGGGTGGAAACTGGGAAGCTCTGTTCAAACCTGAGCTGCTGTTTTAACAGTCGCTCCTCCCACAACCCTGGCGGGGCGATCGGGGCAAGCATTAATATATATGTTTCATGTGCTGTATATATTATATACAATCCTGCACAGTATATCATAATTATTAATTCTTATTTATCATTTGACCTTTGTGTTTCCTTCGTGGTGCTCTCTCTTTTCCTTGTCCGTACTTCTTCTCAATGCAGAAGTTTCTTTGATTTCCCCCAAGCCCCCCTCCCATGCCCCGTGTACCCGGCAGAGCTAGTGGGCCATAGCACCGTGGTTAAGAGCCACATGCTCTGCAGGCCGAATCCCTGGGTTCTAATCCCAGCACCATCACGTTTGCTTGCGATCTTGGCAAACCGCTTAGCCTCTCTGAGCCTCGGTGTCCTGCTTTATAAAACGAGGATATTAACAGCAACTACTTGGCTCCGAGACTCTGGCTATCCACACAAATTCATCCTCCCTCTCTTTTATAGTCATAGGGTTGTGTCTGGGCACACGGCTGTCCTGCGGAGAGCATTGCAGCTTCCCTTGCGGATAGCGTGACCGTGAGACCGAGTGCTTGCTGATGAAAGGCCAGTGTAGACGGGGAGCGTCAGTCCCAGGCCTGGGGCTTATGAGATCACCTGGGTCTCGTATGCAGTCTCTATTTGCCTTCTCAGGGCCCAAATCAATATCAGGTGGCAACAGAGCTTCAGCCACTCGGACAATGACGATGCCTTGGGGGTGGTGGGGTGACAGCTAGGACAGACCTGAATGTCCCTGGGGAGCAGAGCTGTCCCACTGACCTAGACCATTTTCTGCAGAGTTGCTAGGTGAGAATGAGATGAGCATCTGAATTCTTTAAGCCACTGTATTTGGAGTATCTTGTGGGGCTTCAAAACCTGCTTCGGTGAGCACAGCGGGCCCTGAAGGCTGAAGGAGCCCAATCCCAGCTTCCGGGTGAGGCAGGAGCGGAGCCAGAGGAGGCTCACGCCTTGTGCCTTCCCTCTGCCACCACCCAAAGCCCCTGCAGACTCAGGCTCGTGACCCCAGAAGCCAGGCCGGATGCGATGGTGACAGGTGGACAGTTTAATGAGGTTGGGGAGAGCAGGGGCTGGACCGTGTGGCCCTGGGCCCCAGCTGGCCTTCCTCTTCTTGGGCCAGGGTCCCCTCAGCAGTGGACACAGTAGAGCTGGACACTTCCACTGATGCGGAGGTCCCGCAGCCGCTCCAGGGCCTGCCGGCCCAGGGTGGTGGTCCCCACCCCCTGCCCGTTGAGCGCCAGCTGCAGCCCTCCCTCCTGGCACAGGAGCAGCACCTGGGAAGGGGCACAAGCCGGTGGTGGCTTCCAGGCAGGCCCTGCCTCACTGGCCTGATGCTCTACCCAGCGAGACCCTCCTCCCTCAGAGGACACAGAGACTAGACCCTGGGGGCACCCACAGCTGGAGAGAACAGGATGGGGGCCACACTTGTCACCGGCCCATTGCAGCCTTCAACAAGGCCCCGCCCAGTCCTGGGCCTCAGTGTCACCAGGTGTAGCTGAGGATGCTTCCTGCCGAGAGGTGGTTCTGCACGTTGCCATCATTAGGGGGGCGTTTTAATAAAGCTGATGCCGGGGTCCCACCCGCATTAATTAATCCGAGTTCTGGCATCAGCTTGGAGGGTTGAGGGCCACCGCAGGGGCCTTTTCTCTGCCGCAGGACGTCTTACCCCACCCCCACGAGCACCTGCCCACAGTCTCCCAGATCATCCTGGGAATTCAGCTCTGCCAGCATCCCTCAGCATCCTGGAGGGACGTGGCCGCTGGCTCTGACCCACCTCGAAGAATCGCTGGGGGTGAAAGAGGAAGGGGGCCGAGATCAGTTTCTTCCGTCCCCACGGCGAGATCCAGGCCAGAGTCCTGTCTGCGAAAGAAGCCCTGAGTGTCACTGGAGAGTGGGCGGCCTCGTCCCTCAGGCTCAGAGTGAAGCTGCAGAGGGAGAAGAAGGAGGGAGGAGGGAGCAGCTGCCCCCGCCCTGAGGCGGTTGCTCAGGATGGAGGCGGGAGTGGCGGGAGGATTCTGCCTCCAGAAACGAGTGCTTAGGGGCCAGGACAGGCTCCGGGCTGGACGCTGGGACACAGCACAGCTCAGAGCAGTGAAAAAGTCCACTTTGCTTTCAGATGAACCTGAAGTCGAATCCCTGGGTTGCCATCTACTAATGGAGGACCATGGCAGGGTGGGGTGGGAGTGATCTAGCCTGAGCCTCGGTTTCTCTTCTGGAGGTGGGGATACAGTAGTAGCTAACTCTTGTTGAATGTTAAGTCTGTGCTCGGTCCTGTCTTAAAAGTTTTGCAAATAGCTTAGTGGTCAGAGCCAGGCTGCCCAGGTACAACCCTAGCTCTGCTATTTCTAGTCCTGTGACCTTGGTCAAGTCCCTTGATCTCTCCGTGCCTCGGTGTCCTCACCTGTGCTGTGGGGATAATAGCTGCCTGTGGGGTTGTCGTGGGAATGAAATGAGCTAATGCGTGTAAGGTGCGTAGGACAGCAGCTGGCACGTGGTGAGCACTCAGACGGAACTGCTGTCTTACAAACATTACTCTGTGATGCAGTGTCTGCCTCACAGGGCCGCACACATGCGGAGACAAGTGCGTGAACACCAGCAACTCCTGGCACGCAGAGGTGACTTGCGGCGCTAGGGCTGCGTTCCCTGATCCTTGCACATGTTCTGTGCCGTGAGGTTCGCAGCCCACTCAACTCATGAGGACAAGAAGTTGAGGGTCTTGCTCTGTTACCAGCCATAGCTGTGGGGCCTCAGGCTGGGACATGAACTAGGTAGGACTCACGACTCCAGTCCTGGGGCTCTTTCTACTGCCTGGCACCTGCCTCTCCGATAGGGCAGCCTGATTCTTTTTCATGTCTTGGGAGCTTCCAAGCTGTCTTTCTTTGAAGCTCTACCCTGCGGCGGCTGTGGACCGACTCCTCAGCAGGAAGCCGTTGGGCGTAGGAGACGCAGGGTGCAGATGGCGGGGCAAGGTGGGAGGACACCTGTCCTGGGCTGGCCTTTCGGGGACTTGTGGAGGATCCTCCCCAGTTTTGGGAAGGAGCTTGGAAGGCCAGGACCCTGGAGCCTGCCTCTGGAGGCCCGTGCCATCCGGTCCGTGCGTCATGCCTGCCCCAGAACTCACAGGCGTGGTCGGAAGCACGCAGCGTAAGGGTCTAGTGAGGCCAGTGACTTAGAAAATAAAAACAAAATAAAGCAGGGAGAACACGGGGTGCGCCCCTTCCCTGCCCTCCCCTGTATCCATCGAGACAATTCTGATGGTAGCCGCAGTTGTGGACACGTGCCAGGTACTCTCCTGAGCACCGCCCCTGCAGCCGGGGCTGTTATTATCCCCTTCTTACAGAGAAAGAAACTGAGGCACAGAGAGGAAAGGTAACTGCCCTCAGGGTGCACAGGCAGTGAGTGTCCTAAGTAGAGGCCAAAGTCATAAAGCCCAGTGCATCTCCTGAAGGCCGGCCCTCGTCCAGCTGTGCTTGCGCGCCCCCTGCAGGAGACACTAGGCAGTGTCCACTTAGCAACTGTGTTCCTCCAGGTCCTGGCTTCCAAGGACCAGCCTCCTCTCTGGGCCTCAGCCTGCACTGCAAGGGCCTTTCTGGGGCCCCTTTTCTGGAACCTGTGACGAGAGGCGAGCTAGCCTGGCCAGATGTGCCAGCAGGGAAGGTGCTCCCAGAAGTGGGGCTGCTGGTCCCAATTCCAGCCTGACTCTCATAGGCTCTGTGACCTTGGGCAACTCACTGCTCCTTTCTGCCCCTCTGTTTCCTTTTCTGTGGGAGGGAGATTAAATGCGGTGCTGGGAGATTAAAATCGGTGGTGTTTCATGAGCACGTGTCAGGCACAGAGGTGCCGTTTCCTCCCCTCCCCCTGGAAGCTGGATACTCACTCCTTTGGCTCCTGCAGGATCAGCCCCCGCACCACGATGACCTGCCCGGGCCAGAGACCCCGGGGAAGAGCACGTGAGCAGGGCACCTCCTGGAGGAACAGGGGAGATGACCGACAAGACCACTCACGGGGGCTCAGGGAGGGCCACCTGCTCCCCGGGGCCAGGGGAGCATTGGGGCAGGCGCGTTTCTGCCCCTAGGCCTGCAGCCAGGAGACTCAGCTCTGTGCATTTATTAGACGCCTAGCGCAGGCCAGGACCCCTGTGCTCTGCTCTTGCCAGAAGCTTCCCCTGGCTCTGCCAGGCTGAGCTCAGTGCCTCCCTGTGCCCTGATGAGCACCACGTCCTCCTCCCATCACTGCGCCCTGAACTGTAACAGCCACTCAGCGGCCGTTCCCCCACCAGCCTGTGAGCACCTGGAGGGCTGGGACTGGCTCGTGCCTCTATCCAAGAGCCTGGCACTGGGCCTGGGACACAGGTACCAAATAACTGTTTGCAGAATGAAAGGAGAAAGGGAAAATGAAGCTGGAGCTTCAGCCTGGAGCTGCCGGCCGCCTGCAGCCTACAGCTCTCTATAGAGGAAGGGGAGCCCTGAGGCTGAGGGTGTTTCCCACCAGTGTGGCTCCCTGGCCTCCCACCGGATGCCCTCCTAGCCCCAGGGGGCAGGCCAGGGGCTGCAACTCCAGGGGAAGGAGGAGGGAGGCTCACTCACCAGCCTGGGGCTCCTCAGCAGGAAAGGCTGTCAGGGAAAGAGGGGGACACAGGCCATGTGCGTTTGCTCAGTGAAAGGGAACCTCTCGCTCTTATTCTCACAAGTTGGGGGGATTTGGGGCTTGTCTCTCTCTTGCAGCGGGTGAGTCACTGGGCTCCCAGTGGGGTCCTCTTGAATTCAGAGGTCCACCAGCTCCGGAATAAGGGGGAAGAACTGGACGGTGGATCCGTCATTCACTCGTGTGGCCTTGGCAAGTACATGGGCCTCATCTCCCCTTCTGTCCTGCAAGGCCACCCCCAGCCACCTTGCAGGGTTGCTCTGACAATGGAAAGCTCCAACTGAAAGGCATCTCCTGATAGGAATACGGGGTCCCTGCCCCTCCAGGCACCCAGCCCACCCCCATCCGTCTTCCCAAGCCGCCCCGGAGAGCGGCTGGGAGAGCCAACTCCAGACCCTCCCGGGACCAAAGCAGAGCCAGGCAGAGCTGTGGCACCCGCAGCAGTGAGGCAAGGCGAGGCCCAGCCTTGGGCAAGGGAGCGGCGGCCTGGCGGGGCAGGGCGGGCCAGGCGAGGGAGGACCAGCCGGCTCAGCCAGTGCGGCTGCTCGCCCTTCTCCCCGGAGACTCACGTGTCCAGCCGGGTACTCTCTGCTGCCCTCCACAAATGGCTGTGCAGGAGGAGAAAACAGAACAGCAGTCAGGGCCCCTGCAAGGCCCCCCGCCTGTGCCTGGAAGGGCCTCAGGCCTCCCACAGGGCTCCTCGGTGGTTCCCAAACCTGGCATTTTGGACATGCCAATTCTTAGGCACCCCCCACCCCGGCTTAGGGAATCAGAATCTCTGGTGGCGGGGCCCCGAAATCTGTATTTTGCAGAAGCTCATCAGGTGGGAATGAGACAGCCACTGCAGCTGTTTGGCCCTAATGCGCAAGACGCTCGCCTCCTGGTCACTGTCCTCTGCGAAACTGGCCTGCACTGGGTGCAGACTCCTGCCCGCGGCTCCAGGGCCCCTTTCTGCCGTCACCTTCCCTCCCTCCTCACCCCACCCACACCTGACACTGTGGATTCCCTGACCCCAGGCTGTTACTGGGGTACAGGGCCCCCTCTGTCTCTCGGTCTGGGGTGGGGGATGGGTCCCAGGCCTGTCCAAGGGTGACAGAGGCCTTGGCCCCACGGAAACTTACGTTGACGTTCAGGAATCCAACAGCCTCCACCACGATGTCACCAGATATGCCCAGGGTGTCCACGCGAGACAGCGGGAGCCGGTGGCGGTAGTGGAGAAAGTGTTGTCTGTTCACACTCACCTGGAGAGAGACAGGGTCTGGCTCAGCAGCGGCTAATGGCCATCGAGCTCATAATAATGTCCCAGGTGTCACTAAGCACTTTTACCTGGGTTTTCCTCATTTAACTTAACACCAACTCTACCAGGTAGTGCGCTTTGCAGAGTCTCGGGAGCTTAGGTAACCTACCCAAGGCTGCAGAGCTGGCCTTGGGACGGAGGCCCCGTCAGCGCCCCTCCCCACCCTGACAAGGCACTTCCCAGGGTGCTCCTGTGGCCTCTCAGCACACTTGTGGCATCGCCAGCATCCCGTCCAGGTGAGGACACTGAGGCTCAAGAGCTGTGTGATAACCTGTACCCCACAAGTCCCCTCCCGCCAGCTGCCCTGTCCCCCGGAGAAGTCTGAAGGTCCCATCATCCTCCTGGCAGGAGTCCACGTCAGAGGTCAAAGCCTTGAGGTCGAGCTCTCTCTCCCCAGCCCCTGCCCGGATGGATGTACGATGGGGATATGAAAGCACCTGCCTCGTGGGCTCGTTGAGAGGATTCGGTGAGCTGATGGACTTAAAGAGCTTAGAACAGTGCCTGGCACACAGCAGGAGCTCCCCGAGTGCCGGCCATGACTATGGCAGTGGCGCCCTCTGGGGTCAGGAACCATAGAGCTTTCTTGCTGCCACGCGGGCCCAGGGCAGCCTCCCCCTCCCCCAGTGCCACTCAACACAGTGACAGGGGAACCAGGAAGGTGGAAGGACACAAGTTCCAGACCACCCAATGCCTGTCCCTTCCACTCACCTTCACGTCCTCATTCCCAAAGAGGAAGAGGATGAGAAAGCTGTCCCCTTTCTGCAGGGGCAGGTGGGGCCACCGGGCCTCCCTTAGCCAGCGTCCACCGTGCAGGGTGTTGCAGATGACGTGGGGCTTGGAGGTGTGGAAGCGAGGGTTGAAGTGGATGGCGGTATCTGGCCGGGGACACAGGCTGCAGCCGCACTGGAAGTCCACCTGAAACCTGGCAGGATGGGAGGCTCGCAAAGTGCAGCCCGGGTCAGAGACCTGCAGACCCCCGAGGGCAGAGAGGAGCCCCGAGCTCGATATCTCTAGGACTGAGCCCAGCACCCCCGGGCCACCCCCTTACCTGCGTGCGCCTAGAGGGACCCCTCCCTGCAACACGACCATCTTGCCTGTGTGCAGGCCGCCAAAAATCGTCGTGACATAAGGAACCACCTGAACAGGGAGAAATCCATCGTGCGGGGTTGCAGAGGGGCCTGGGACCCCTTTGTCAGGGGAGTGGGGAGGGAAGAGGAACAAGAAAACTCAACTTTCCCTCCCTGGACAGAAAAACGTCCTTACAGGGAAAAACCAGCTTTCTCTGAAATAGTGTCTTCCACCGACTCCCCCTTCCTGGACATGCAAAGCCACTTTGCACTGGGGAAGCCAAACTCAGTCCCACTGCCCCGTCGGAGCCCTGGCCAGCTTCCTCCCCAGCCCCTAGGCACAGTGGACTGCCATGTCCCCAGTGAGGCTTGCTGTCCATGGATGCCACCCTGGCCCCCAGAAGCCTGGTATCCCCGCTTCCCGAGGACTGCTAATGGTGGGAGCCCAGGAACGGGGAAGCGAGGGATGGACCAGGTGGGAGCTGGGAGCAGACCCTGTATGGAACCCCGGAGAGATGCCCAACGGTGGCCTTGCCAGGCTCCTCTTGCCCCACAGAGAAGCTGCCCAACCTTCCTAAAACACTCGCACACGTGCACACCTCCCTGCCTCTTCTGGGCTGTTCCTCCGCTCTCCCCCACCCTGACTCTCCCTGTGCTCAGCTCAGGAGGGCCTTCCAGAGCCCAGGGCAGGGGCTGGGGAAGCAGGGCCCAGACAGAGGCCCTCTCCGCCCTGCCACCTGGGAGTCTGGGCCCAGCCAGAAGCGAGGAGCCCAGAGACCTAGGAGGGTCCAGAGCAGACTGGTGGCTCACCGGGTGGAAGACTGGTGGCTGCAGGATGAAGCTGTCAGGAATCGGGTCCAGTTTTTCTCCAGGCGACATGGGGTGGGGAAGCTCCGACTTAGGCTGTAGTTCCTGGTTCTGGGAGCCCTGCCCCCAAGGGACTGACTCACCTTCCCCAGCCAGGGCCCTAAGCCACTGGGAGCAGGCCTGGGGACAGCGGTCCACCCCTGGGCCCCAACCAGCACCAGCCCTGGTGGTGCAGAGCAGAGCTCTGGCTGGTCTGGAGCTGTCAGCAGAAACTGTCCCAGGCTGGGGAGCTGCCACTCTCCAACAAAGTAACGCGCCCCTCTGGGTCTGAGGCACGTGGCCATTGCAGAGGGGAGCCAGAGCTGGCTCCCCGGGGCTCGCGCCCTCACTGGGTGAAAGAAGGGGTGCTGGTGCATGGGTCCAGGTTCCAGGACAGCCTGGGAGGCTTCCCATTCCTTCCCCAGCCCCCGCAAAAGGATTTCACCTCTTCCCTCCTTTCCCTGCCCCTTTCCCCACTCTTCTTCCTTTCCCAAGTTCTACAGTCCCCTGAGGCTCCGTTTCGGCATCAGCTGGAAATCCCAGGACCCAGCTGGGGTCACAAGAAGGTGGAGCGAGAAAAGGGCCGGGAGAGGAGGCTCCTTAGGCTCAGCAAAGACAGCATGGGGGCATGTGGCTACACGGGAAGGAGACCTGCACTCTTGCTCCTCTGCTCTAATGTGCTGTGTGCCCTTGGACAAATCACTTCCCCTCTCTGGGCCACCGTTGCTCATGTGTGCATTGAGAGGGTGACCACAGCGGCATGTCTTGCAGGGAGGCCTGCACGTGGGGGTGGGGGTGGGCCCTGACATCTACGTTTTACTAGTGTCTTCCAGTTCTTGTGCAAATTCCGATAACGCTTTCCCTTTCAAAAGCAGCACGACCTGTCAACTTTATTCCAAGTTGGGAGGTCCCAGCATCTGACCATAGGTCAGACTTGGCAGCAGGGAATTCTTGGCCGGACCAGGCTGGGCAAAGGGTCAGGTGCTGGGGTCTGAGGAGGAGTCAGCTCTCCGCATGGAGGGGAAGGTGGGTGAAGGGTCTTGGGTCCCCGTGCCGGCTGCTCCTGCGGCGTCGGGCAGGGCGCTCTGTCTAGCTGTGCCGCGCCTGTCCTCCCCGTGTCTCGCACTTGAGTCCATCTCCTCGTCGTCTCCACTGCACTGAGCACAGGGACCTCGAGGCCTGCTTTGAACCCTGGCAGGACAGAGTAGGAAGGGGTCTCCGGGAAAGTGTCTTTTTACCACCACGGAGGCACAACCACGCCCCCGCCCGCCCCCATGGTGAGGTCCTTGGTCCTGATCCTGTCTCTGAAGAAGGGGATGTAGCTGCTTATGGGGCTGGGGTCACCACGAGGTTTTCCTCTAACTGGCAGACGGGCCTGTGCTTCTGGTCCTTGTGGAAGTGGCCCTGGGTGGGGACCAACGAGGGTCCTGGAAGAGGGTGTGGGCCTGAGAATAAAGTCGGTGGATGACCTTTGCCCTGGAAGCAGCTACTGTCCCTGCCCTCTCTGGATGCCGCTCCATCCAGTGCGGTTGGGTGAACTTGCGGTTAGCGACAATGCCAGTAGGGGAAGGGGCAGAGAGTGTGTCCTCCCCCTGCCCGGGGCTGCAGCTGCCAGACCAGGATGAAGCAATCCCAGGATGGGGGCCCCTGCTGGCTGAGCAAACGCAACTCCCAAGGAAGTTGGGGTCAGAGTCCTCCTGCAGGTTCTCCCTGCCACCGCCCATTCTCCCACTTTGTAGCTTTGGGCAAGAAGCCCCCCACCCCGCCCGGCCCTCCTCCCATTTGTCTTAGGAAAGGAGAGAGTGATGTCAGAGAGCCTTGGCGCTCCAGTGGCACAATCGGTCAGCGCGGTGCTTATGTAATTGTGCCTGGACCACGCAGCAGGTGTCCTGATTCCATCAAGGACTGTGGGGCAGTGGCCTGTGCTGAATAGAAAGGGTCACGAGTGTCAGAGTCCTGGTGGGATCCCGACTGCAGATGAGATCGGGTCCTAGAGTCTAGGCTGGTGCCCATGGGCCCCTGGGAGGGCCAGGCCCAGGCTCTGGCCAAGGGTGGCCCTTTGGTCGCACGGTGGGGACATCCATTATGACCAGCTGACCACAGGGGAGCGAGGCCGAGTGGGTCACAGACGTGCAGGCTGGACAGAGCCGCTGACGCGTGGCAGCCTCACTCGAGGATGTCTCTGAAAGACAGTGGCGAGGGGGGCTCCTTCCAACGCCGAGACCTTCAGCGGTGCCCTGGTCATCCACGCTGGGTTGAGAGAACTGTCCCAAGGGTCAAATACACAGCCTCCAGGGCAGTAGCAAATGGCTTCTCCAGTTGGTCAGCAGTCGGGAAGGATGAGGGTTGGAAAATGGGAATTTGAGGAAGAGTGATGTGTGGGGACACACAAAAGCAGGTCTGAAGTGCAGAGATCTTTGTATCGTCATACACGGATGCCCACCCAGAGCGTCTGCACAGACGAAACCTTGACACCAGACGTCGGAGTGGCTTGGCCAGCCTCTGCCATGGGTGTGGTGGCTGTGGTGGCAGGGAGCAGGCTTGTGTGGACGTCCCCTAGTCAAGGCCAGTCTTGCTACTGACGCTGCTGATGTCTGTCCAGCTGTCATGGAGGAATCATGTCCCCCCAGCTGATATGCGGAAGGTCTAACCCCCAGCATGGCCGTATGTGGAGATGGGGCCTCTAAGTGGGAATTAAGGTTAAATGAGGTCATAAGGGTCATTGGATTAGTGTCCTTGTAAGAAGAGACGTCACTTTTCTTATGAGGTCCTGGTGCCTGGTGTCCCAGACCCAGACAGGATTTGGGGAGAGGGCACAGGCGGGACCCCTGCCCAGAGCCGGCACCCAGAGATCAGCTGAGTGTGGGAACAGCCCAGTCTTGGCATGGAGTGGGCAGTCCCAGGGGAGCAGAGGGCGACTCGCCCACTGTGGAGATGCGCCCCATGTTAGGTGGCAAGGGGGCTAGGGGAGCATGACAGCCGCTCCCACACGAGTTCTGAACCAGCCTGACCCCTGGGGACCGGCCCAGGGCAGCCTGAGGGGCCCGACAGCTCCCTTGCCCCAAGTGGGTGGGACCACACCCCTCGCTCTGGGATCAGCCGCTTGCAGGGAGGCCTGGATGTCAGACCCACGGGCCATGCAGGGACCACGAAGACTTCAGGGACCCAGGTCTGTGGGGCCCATCCCTGCAAGGGCCAGATGGGCTCGGGGGAGAAGCTGACCAAGCCTGTCTTCCTTCCAGCCTGAGCAGAGGAGCGTCCTAGGCAGGTCCTGGGCCTGGAGCCAGTGTGCCCCAGCATCCAGACCCCCCAAGGGGGACAGGCTGGCCCTCCACAGCCCAGCTCCAGCAGCCCATGGTAGCAGCTTCCCAACGTGGGAGCCTGGTCCTCCCCTATCCCCGCCTGGCTGTGCTGTCCCCCAGGCCGAGGCCCAGTGGCATGAGGGGCTTCCACAGAGCAGCAGGTCTCTTGCTGCGGGCCTTGGGGTCCCAAGGGTTGGCCAGCTGGACCAGGCAGGGGCCGCTGCCGGCTGTCCGGGGCTGGAGGGATCCCACACTCACCCACCCCTCCAGCTCACTGCAGGTGACGACTTTCCCCGTCCAGAGCGATGTGCCCAGGCTGTGGGGGCGACGGGGGCTATGAGGCAGCTTGCCAGGGGTTGTCCTGGCTCCTTTCGGGACATGCTTGTCACTGCCCGCAGAGGGCAGGCAGACAGACACAGGCCCCACCATCCGGGGGGTAACCCCGGCCCTGCCTCTGAGTGTTCCATGGGCCAGACAGGGCCTGGTGACAGGGCCCCAGTTGGGTGGGAGGGTCTGACCTGTCCTGTGATCCTGGGGGTGCCAGCACAGATGTAGAAGGGACAGGTGCCCAGCCTATGCATATCTGATCCTCTAGTGCGGTCCTTTCTTCCCTGAATTTGCTTCATGCCTTTGTCACAATCCATTGAACATATGTGCGAGGGTCTGCTCTGGACTCTTCTGTTCTGCTGGTCTATGTGTCTGTCTTGTCACTGATACCACACTGTCTGGTTTTCTGAACCTTTACACTAAGTGAAGTCAGGTCAGCTTGGAAGCCCTCTCACTTGTGTCTTCTTTTTCTGAGTGGTTTTGACTCTTCTAGGTCCACCGAGTTGCCACCTGCTGAAACACGTGACCACAAGCATGCATATATGTGTAGCACCAGTGGGAACATGTGCACATCACGACCAAGTGAAATGTCTTCCAGGGGTGCAAGGCAGGCTCAACGTGAAAAACGAGGCAATGTGATCCACTATATGAACAGATTAAAAGACAAAAACACATCAGTTTAGTAGATTCAGAAAAAGCATTAGACAAAATCCAACATCCTTGTAAAACTTCCAGCAGACTAGAAATAGAAGTGAATTTCTTTTTTTTTTTTTTTTTTTGAGACAGAGTCTCACTATGTTGCCCAGGCTAGAGTGCCGTGGCGTCATCCTAGCTCACAGCAACCTCAAACTCCTGGGCTCAAGCGATCCTCCTGCCTCAGCCTCCCGAGTAGCTGGGACTACAGGCATGCGCCACCATGCCCGGCTAGTTTTTTCTATATATTTTTAGTTGTCCAATTAATTTTTTTCTGTTTTTAGTAGAGATGGGGTCTCGCTCTTGCTCAGGCTGGTTTCGAACTCCTGAGCTCAAACAATCCTCCCGCCTCGGCCTCCCAGAGTGCTAGGATTACAGGCGTGAGCCACCGCGCCCGGCCAGAAGTGAATTTCTTTATACTGATTGAAGTATCTACTAAAAATCTATATCCGATATTTAGTGGATTATTACGTTTGATAGAAAGACAGAGCTTTCACCCAGATGAGGAGCACGGCGGGGATGTGGGTGCTCCCCATTTCCTTTCAGCCTGCTGCGGGCAGTCCCGCGGTGCCCAGGTCTTCACTCCTGGAGCTCACCCAGGTCTCCGCTGGGTGTCATTATTCTGCTGGGTGGACTGAAGCCCGAGCGATTTCTCCAAGACCAGACTCTCTGGAGCAGACCCACCTCCTGGCACAGGCGATTCCTGAGCTGGCCCCAAACGTAAGAGCGAGGCGTCTGCCCCCTTCTCTTTCCGACCCTGTTTGCCCACAGGTTTCAGGCCTGTGCCTGTGATAGAGCCCAGGAGCTCTGGCCAGGGTCCTCTCATCTGCCCTGTCCATCACTTCTTCCCACGCTGCGACTGCTCCGTCACGGAACCCACTGTCGTCTCCCTGCATGCTGGACTTCGGTCTGCCGTCTCCGTGGGGACTCCTGACGCCTAAGTCCTGCAACTTCTGTGTACGAGACTCTCCAGTGGGGGTGTCCCCCAGTTTTAGCCCACACATATTCTCTGTCCCCTACCCAGCCTCCCCCACCCCAACATCCTCATCCAATTATTCATGGAGTGACTTGTGCCATCTTCGCATGAGGGCTACACAGCACGGAGAGACGCGACACTTTATCTTAAAGCACAAAAGTCTGAAATGGGGCAGCTACCGAAGCCAGCAGCCTCACAGCTCCTTACAGAGTGGCCTAGCCCCAAGGACGGGTATACCACAGCAAAGGTGGCTTACAACAACATGGTTGTTTTTATTTTGTTTTATTTTGATTTTTTGCATTTTACTCACATTCCATATCTGTTGCAAGATATTACGGTTACTTAGGGACCCAGGCTGATGGAACAGTTGCCACCTTCAACATTGCTGGTCAGAGCAGGGAGGAGGCTCTGGAAGGCCTCAAACCAGTACATAAGGCCCCTGACAGGGCTCCGGCTCAGAACTCATCGTTCGGAACTATTCCCGTGGCCCTATCCAAGCGCAATCTTACCAAGCGCCGTACTGTCAACTAGCGTGCATAACCAGGAGGAAACAGATTTGAGGTGCTACAGCAGAACTGGGGAACACGGGGGAGGCGTTCACCGGGTGCAGGACATCAAGGGAGGGGCAGGAGTCAGACACAGTAACAGGAACAGCTCGCACCCAGCTCGACCTGCCAAACACGCTCTGAGTGCTCTACAGGAAGTGGCTGCATGAAGCCTCACGAAGCCAACGAGGAGGTGACACAGTCACCTTCACCGCTATGCGTCAGTGGCCGCAAACCATGGCCAGAGGCCAAATCCTGCCTGACACCTATTTGTGGATGGTCCATAAGACAAGAATGGTTTTACATTTATAAATGGCTATAAAAAAAAACCAAAAGAAGGATATTTTGTGATATGAAAAATATGGTATGCAAATTTCCACCCATAAGTAAGATTTTACTGAAACACAGTCATGCCGTTTGTCACGTGTAGTCTGTGGCTGCTTTCTGCTACGGTGGTAGAACATTCTGGGCCAATGCTGCTGGGAGCTGGTCTGGACTGGATGCACCCATGACACAGAACAGGAGGAAAATGCCCTGGCTGGGGCCATGACACATGTGCAGGGAGCTCTGGGCTCGCCCTGGGGTGCCCTCAGGCTGCTTTGGCCTTTGAGTGACATATGTCAGCCAGACACTCGGAGGGCTTCCCAGCAGCTAGGGGACAGGCTCCTGCTCATCTCAGCTGTTGGTGCCGGCCCAGGACGGGGTGAGCAGCTTCCTGAGACTCTGAATAAGCTCTGGGCCTGATGCCAGGGGATGTTCCCCTCTCCAGGAAGGAGGCCGGTCCACTCGGTGTTGGGGGCTTAGGACAGCGCCCAGGGTCCCTCCGCAACCTGCACACAGCCAGAGAGGAACCCACAGCTTCTCACTGGGTGAGCTGTGGTGATGACCTCAGCTGATGGGCCACTGCCTAGAAAATGGAGGGACACTGCCCTGTCACTGGTGACTGTCCTATAGTGGAAGGACACTGTCCTGTAACTGGTGACTGTCCTACACTGGAGAGACACTGCCCTGTCACTGGTGACTGTCCTACACTGGAGGGACACTGCCCTGTAACCAGTGACTGTCCTACACTGGAGGACACTGCCCTCTAACTGGGGACACTACCCTATTACTGGGGGACACCACTGGAAGGTGGATGTGGGTGGGAGGAGAGGGCTCCTCCCTTCCGTTTTCTGCTGAGGAAAGCCCCTCCCAGCCAGGAAGCTGCTGTCCTTGTTCTTGCTGCAAAGATGCAGCCCACCGGCGGCCCGGAGGCTCCTGCTCACCCAGCGGCTTCCTGTCAAGCCTCCTGTTGCAGCGCGGGGCGGGGAAAGCACACGCTGCACAGGAAGGCTTAGAAGTCACATGAGATTTATTGCAGCCTCTTCCTAAGGAATTATCCATAGAATGAAAAGATCCCTCTCCCTCAAAGTGGAAAACAAAACTTGCTGGATGTGCCGCTCTGGATGGCATTGGCAGAGGTCCTCGCTGTGGCTGCAAGCGACACCGACAACGTGACACTGGGGTCCTCGAGGAGAGGAGGCCTCCGGGCAGGACTGACCCTCAGTCCACCGCCAGGCGCTGCTGCTCTGCCGCCTCCAGCTGGAGAACCTGGAGAGAGAAGCCCGGACACCATGGTCCGTGCGCGGACTTGACAGCCGTGCTGTCGAAATGCACCAAAGAGGGGGTTGCACGCCCCGGAATGGAAAACCAGGTTGTGAAAGCGTCTCCACAGGGTACCGTGAGCCTGTGTGTTGGAGAAGGCTGGGAGGGTGAGTCTGAGCACAGGCGCAGTGGTCACTGCAGACAGCAGAGCGCAGGTGTGTTCATCTTTACCTGTGTGTGCATCTCACGTCTCCACATGTCATTTTCCAGGCTACACAGCATCCGGACCCCCAGCCTGGTCTGGGAGAGTCCATCGCTGAGTGCGTCTCAGTGGGAGCCAGGCCCCCACCTCCCACAACAGAAGCCAGAGTCGGGAGCAGCTCCCTCTCCCTGCCCTGGGTGGCCAAGTGACAGTCCTGTCACCAGAGGCTCAGCCACTCCACTGCCCAGTGATGCAGTGACATGCAGGAAGGCAGAGCACTGGTATCCTCCGTGGCAGGTGTGGAGCATGGGCTCTGTCTGGCCACAGCAAGTGATTCAGGGCAGCGGCCTGGCCTGAGAGTCCTGGCTTCCCAGCCCCCACTGGCCCAGCCCTCTCTTCAACCCCTCCGTTGCTCTTCCAGTAAGTTCCATTCCACCAAAGGCAGCCAGATGCAGCATCTACTCCTTGCAGCCAAGAAGCCCCCATAATCATCCAGCCCCAAATGTCAGCGTTCCTCAGCCCCAGCACTACCGACACGGTAGACCGGATGATTCTCTGTTGGGGTGGGGGTGGGGGTGGGCCCATCCTGTGCCCCGTAGGGTGGTCAGCAGCACCCTGGACCCCTGCTCTAGATGCCAGCAGCAGAGATCCCAGCAGTCGTGATAACCAAAAACCTCTCCAGACATCGCCGAAGGTCCCCGTGGGGGCAAATCGTCCCTGACGGAGAATCCCTCCAACGGGCCCACCCTCTGTTCCCAGGTCACCTGCTCAGAGATGCCGTCGCTGACCACCAGGTTTAAAGCAGCTTCCTGTCAGCCCCTGGTACCCCTGGGCTCAGCACATGGGTAACAATTTCAATGTTAAATGACCCCTGTGGTGACGACCTGGCTGTCTCCCTCCTCCCACCAGATCACCACCTGCCCTCGGGAGGACCACGTCTATCTTGCTGTCTGTTGTGGCCCCACATCTGGCCTTGAGAAAGGGAGGGACCTGTATTTTTTTATTGATGTTATCAGTCCTTTATTTTTTGTTCTGTTCTTAATTAATTAGAAAGAGAAAAGGAAAACAGCGTGGTTTAGGGGCTGTGAAACCATCTGGGAACTCTGGTTGTTTAGAGATGACAGCAATCGGCACCATGTTCATGGAATGGTGCCCGGCTGCTGATTTCAGTACGCTCAGCGCTGGCAAACAGCACAGCCACCAGCAGCTACACTCCGATTAACTTTAAACGTGCCTGTAAGTTAGGACGGCCATTACGGAAAACAGTATGGCGGGTCCTCAAAAAATTAAGACTGGAGCTGCCGTACAATCCAGCAACGCCACTACCGGGTAGAAACCTAAAGGAAGTGAAATCACCGTGTCCAGGGGAGAGCTGCAACCCCGTGCTCACCGCAGCACGAGTCACAGCAGCCGAAATGTGGACTCAACCTCTGTGTGCACCAACGGATGCGTGGGTAAAGAAAATGGGGTGCCTATACACAGTGGAATACTATGTTAATGCCTTTAAAAAGACAGAAATTCTCTCATCTGCAACGGTATAGACTAATCTGAAGGACAGTAAGTTAAGTGAAATAAGCCGGCCCAGAAAGACAGATCTGCACGATCTCACTCATCTGTGGACAGTAAAAAAGTTAATCTTGCGGAAGCAGAGAGCAGAATGGTGCTCGCCAGGGCTGGGAGTGGGGAGATGTTGGCCAAAGGACACGTTGGCCAAAGGAATTTCAGTTACGCGGGAGGCGTAAGTTCGGTAGCTCTGCTGCATGACGTGACGACTATCATTAATACTGGAAAGTCGCTAAGAGAGTAGATTTTAAGTGTTCTCACCCCAAAAAGACCCTGAAGTACGTGAGGTAACACATAATATGTTGACTTAGCCATTCCACAGCGTCTTCATATATCAAAACGCCATGTTGTACACAATAAATATATACAGCTTGTATTTATCAATCAAAAGAAATAAAAATAAAACAAAAAAAAGCTTTAAACATACTTGTCCCTTTGCAGAAATGAGGACAGTAAAAGTGCCATGCACATATAAAAATGCTTTTCCATCTTCGACGGAAATATGCTCGTGTTGTCCCCAAGGATATTTCACACAGAGCAAAAACCACTTTTGCTTGATTTACCTGGTTTTCTATGCACCGAAACTGCCACGGCCAGCCAGTGTTGTACAGAAACGGTCGCAGGTCGAACCTGTTGTCGTCGGGGCTATAGTTCTCGGCGTGGTAGGCGGGCGTGAGCGTGGTCATCTTGTGTCTGTTCATGGCATACTTCGAGAAAAATCGCTTTACTTTGTCAGCCACCTGGAGGGCATGCAACGCACAGGGCTTCGAGTTAGCAAAGCTGGAAGGACCCGCAGCTAGAATTCGGACACTGGACTAGGCAAGCCAGTGGCTGACAGGTGACAGCCCCAAGTGTGACCTTCCCCAGCGGGAGTGGGGAACGCCAGTGCCCAGGCCAGGGGGCTGCGGAGCCACCACGACACCATGGACTCCCTGACTCCAACCCCGCGGCAGGCTGGCTGCTTCAGATCTGAGGCGAGCCTACAGTCATTTCATGAGGCTTCCGGGAGGTCCTGCAGGACCGCCATGTCTGTGGGCTTCGGCCCTGACAAGACCCCCAACTGGCAGAAAAGCCATACTATTCTGACCTTGAGCTTGAAGTTTGTGTTCTGCCCGCAAAAAGAGGGGAGGGGCTTGTTTCATGTCCTGTTGCCCTGGGGGTGGCTGAGCTACCATAGGGTAAACAGATGACCCCAGCCGGTAGGAAGCAGAACCGGACAGCGTTATTGTGCAGGACAGTTTCATTCTGTGAGGGTCACACGGTACTTACTTGCTCCTACAAGTCAAATCGAGCCCTGCAAAGGTGACTGCACCTGACGGGTCTCCCTCTGAATCGTCACTCGTGGCTCACCTGTCGTGGGGAGCAGACGTTTCTCCACAGGGTGAGGAGTTTGCAGAACATGCTGTAGGGACCCGCCTTGGCGACCTTCCGGAGTCTCCCGTACACTGAGAGCTCCTCGTACGTCATCCCCATATCCTCCTGCAGAGGACAAAAACCCACTGCACAGGGTGACCCCACGTCAGGGCAGGAGGAGAGCTTAGAGCTTCTACTGGAGATGAGAACCCGGGACCCGGGGGGCCGAGCCTTCCCCAGAGAGCCAGGAGCTGACGCTCAGCCTGTTTCCCCAGCACTGATCGCCAATAAGGACGTGGCATTCAGGAAAAAATGACCACGAGCCAGACATTTGGTTTTGGGGACTGCAGTGGGGGGACCTGTGGGTCACCAACAATACGTTCATGCCCGTAACCCCTGGAAGTTGTGACTGTGACCTTATTTGGAAAAAGAGGCTTTGCAGATGTAATTCAGTTAAAGATCTTGAGAGACGATGACTCTGGATGTAGAGTGGGCCCTAAATCCAATGACAGATGTCCCTAGAAGGGATAAGAGGAGAGACAGCAGAAGCCCATGGGAAGACAGACGCAGAGACTAGAGAGATGCGGCCACTAGCCAAGGAGCACTTGGAACCACCAGAAGATGGAACAGACGGAAGGATCCTCCCATGGAGCCTTCGGAGGGACCACAACTGGCCAACACCTTGACTTCACATTTCTGGTCCCCAGAACAGTGCAAGAAGACGTTCCTGTTGCTTTAAGCCACCCAGTCTGTGGCCATTTGCCATGGCAGCCCCGGCTGAGGCTTGGCATGCTGAGCAGATGGATCCTGTCCTCACCCTCCTGACCCACTGCCTTGCCGTGTGGAGGGTCAGAGAGGAGGGAACAGGGCTCACCGAAATCTGGGCCACATTGCAGGCCGTAAGACACCACTGGCGTGACAGTGCGAGGTCACCAACTCCTCCAGCTGGGTTCAGGAGAGTCAATTTCACCTTGAGGCTTACAAAACCCAGACCCGTCTCCATTTTCAACGCTTGATCTGATTCCCTCTCAATTCCCTCAAACCCACGAGCCCTCATCCCAGACACACAGCTAGAGCTGTCATCAGAGATGACACAGCCAGAGCCACCATCACATGGGCAGAGCCACCATCAGAGACATGGCCAGAGCCATTATCAGAGGCAGATGTGAATGCTGGCATTTGGGGATCCGCAGCAGTGTGGCCCTTACCCCCAACCAGGGTGTGCAGAAACCCTCTGTGACGTGGCCCCTGCCCCATGCCCCCATCCTCCCTACTTGGATGTAGCCGCCTGGCCTTCTCTCAGTCCTCGGCTCATCTTGAACCCCATCTAAGGGACACTGCCACCCCCTGCCATCTCTGTTGTGTCTTCCCGTCTGTTTTGTTTGCAGCACTCATCATGGTTACGCTCTTCTTCTCTGGCCCCTCCAGGGGACTCTATGATTTTAAGAGCAGTGGCCACATCTGTCTTGTTCACAGTGGAGTCCCTAACACCTGACAGGTTTGGGAACAAGAAGCTGCTTTACTGGTTTCTTTTGCATGAAGTGTGTATTTTCTAGTGTAACATTTTAATTTCTTCAATTCAACAATAATACTTGGAGACTTCAATATCCCACTTTCAATAATGGATGGAACTAGACAGAATATCAAGAAGGCAACAGAAGATCTGGTCAAGTCTGTAAACCAATGAGATCCAGCAGACATCTGCAGAACTCTCCACCCAGCAGCAGCATAACACACGTTCTTCTCAAGTGCACATGGGACATTCTCCAGGACAGACCACGTGCTGGCCCATGAAGGAAGCCTCAGAAAACTTTAAAACATTGAAGTCATACAAAGTAGGCACTGTAACCACAAGGGGATAAAACTAGAAGTTCAACAATAGAAAGAAATTTCAGAAATTCACAAACACGTGGAAATGAAACAGTGCACTCCTACATAATCAATGGATCAAAGAAGAAATCACAAGAGGAATCAGAAAACACTTTGGTGAGTGAAATGAAGACACAGCACCCCAAACCACGGATGCAGGGAAAGCCTCACTAGGAGGGAAATTTATAGCTGAAAACACCTATGTTAACAAAGAAAAAAATCTCTCCAATCAATAACCTAACCTTCCACTTTCAGACACTGGGAAAAGAAGAGCAAACTAAACCTAAAACAAATAGAAGGAAGAAAATAATAGAGATTTGAGGGAAATTAAAGAAATGGGGCATATAATAATAAAAGAGGAGATCAACAAAACTAAAAGTCATTCTTTGAAAAGATCAAAAGAAAAACCTATCCATCCGTTCACCTTATTGGTTCTCTCTGGAAAATGCTGACTAACAAGGACACAAACTGACTCGGGAAGAAACGTGAACAGGCCTCCAATCAGAGATTCGATTAAAAATGAAGACGTTTCTCACAAAGAAAAGCCCAGGTCAGATGGCTTCCCATGAACTCTACCAAAGTTGTATAGGACAATACCAATTCTTCACAAACTCTTCAAAACACAGAAGAGGAGGGAACACTTCCTAACTCTTTCTACCAGGCCAGTACCTCCTTGATACCAAACCAGACAAAGACATCACAGGAAAGGAAACTACAGATCGATATCCCTTGTGAATACAATCCTCAACAGAATACCAGCAAACCAAAGCCAGCAACATACAAAAAGGATTATACACAAAGACCAGTAGGGAGTTATCCCATAAATGCAAGGCTGGTTTCACGTCTGGAAATTGTAGAAAGAGCATTTGACAAGATCCAACATGCTTTTATGATAAAAGCACTAAAAAAACTAGGAATAGAAGGGAACTTCATGAACAATATAAAGGACATGTATGAGAAATCTGCAGCTAACATCACATTTAATGGGGAAAAACTGTACCTTTTCTCGCTAACATCAGGAACAATGCAAGGATATCCCCTCTCATGGCTTCTATTCAATATTGTACTAAAGGTTCTAACCTGGGAGATTAGGCAAGAAAAGGAAATAAAAGGCATTCAGATTGGAAAGGAAGAAATAAAATTACCTCTATTTGCAGATGGTATGATCTGACAAATAGAAAATCTTAAGGAATCCACTAAAAAGTTATTAGAACTAATAAATGAGCTCAACAGGGCTGTAGGGAATAAGAACAACATATAAAAATCAATTATGTCTCTATACACTAGCAATGAACAACCCAAAAATGAAATTAAGAAAAGAATTTCATTTATAGTACGATCAATAAGAATAAAATACTTTAAAATAAATTTAACAAAAAAAGTGCAAACTTATACTCTGAAAACTAGAAAACATTGTTAAAAACCTTAAAGGAGAGTTAAATAAATGAGAAGACATCCCATGTTCACGGTTCAGAACACTTAATATTACCAAGATGGTAACCACTGCCCCAGCTGATCTATAGGTTCGATGCGATGCCTATCAAAATCCAAGCTGTTTTTGTTTTTTGCAAAAGTTAACAAGCTGATCTCAAAATTCACATGGAAATCCAAGGGATCTAGAGTACCCAAACTCATCTTGAAAAAGAACAAAGCTGGAGAACTCACAGTTCCAGATATCAGAACTTCCTACAAAGTTACAGTAATCAGGACAGCATGGTACCGGCATGAGGAAAGACACTTAGATCAATGGAATGCAGTTCAGAAAGAAATCCTACGTTTACAACAAAGATAATTATGGGGGAGAAAGAATAGTCTTTTCAACAAATGGTGCTGGGACATTTGGATATGCACATGTAAGAGAATGAAGTCGGACCCCTTCCTCACACCATACACAAAAGTTAACTCAACTAGATTATAGACTTTCTAAATGTAAGGACTAAAAGTATCAAACTCTTGGAAGAAAATATAGGAGTAAATTTATGTGACCTAAGGAGGCTGGAGGGCCACGCGTCTTATGATAAAAGTCCACGGCCACTTCTCCAGCACCTGCTGAGCTACAAACCAGAGCCATGGCCCCAATGGCCACATGCCAGCGTGAAATGGAGAAGTGAAGAGCAATTATTCTCTGAGGTCACTTACTCAAGATCCTGGAGAGACACCCCTCCTGCCTGCCAGGGACCTGCATTTCTCAGCTCGCCATCCGCTCTCCCTTCCCACCTGCCTCACCTCTGCTTTCCTAGGCCCCAACCACAAGAAAGCTGGATCGAGGTGTCAAAGGTTGACGATGTGACGGATGCTGAAGCCTGGGCACCAGGCCAGGAGCCCAGAGACGGAACACAGTTCCTCGGGGCAGAAAGGAGGCAGGAAGGAGCCACCACCACCATGCAGAGGTGGGGAGGAGAAGAACAGGTACCATCACAAAGCCACCACCATTACCTCGTCAGTCTGGGACACCTGTCCGTCATCTAGGGGCTCCAGCTCTGCGGTGGCCGGTGCTGACAGGATGCTGTAGCCAAGACACACAGAGGTCAGTCACTACAGCTGCTAATGTGCTCATGAGCTTTAGGAGAGAATCCCCAAACCACCTGTCCCAAGCTTGCTGGCCACTTTGCCCTGTTCACCGTCAGTAGAGCCGAGTCGAGGGGGCCTCCTAACCTGAGGCTGGGAGGCACAGCACAGGGACACCCCAGCCTCACCTGGAGCTAGATAATTCCCTGAAGTTGGGAATGCAAATGTCCTGTGCATCATAGGACAGTCAGGAGTGTCCCTGGCCTCTACATACTAGGGGCCAGTAACAGACCCTGTGTGAAGCTAAACATGTCTACAGACGTTGCCCAATGTACCCTGGGGGCACAATAACCCAGGAAGGACGAAGAGAAGAAAGGACATTCCTATTACAGGAAACGATGCAAGCAAAGGCCTGGGAAAGCTCTGGGCATTACTCAATTCACTCGCTGCTAAAGCCCCCGCTGCTCTGCTAGGATGCACCACCGCACCACACCGTACAGGACCTCCCTGTTAGGATGGCAGGAGGACAGAGGCCAGGACAGGAGGGCAGCAGCAGCTCCCTGTCTGGCCAGCACCCAGGGGTGATGGAAGCACCCACAGGAAGAAGCGGGTGGCCCGGTCACGGGACTACAAGTGCCCAGCCTGGCTCATGGGCAGGGCTGTCTTCATAGGGTGGTAGGGAGCTCCGAGGGTGGCCAAGCGGGGGCGAGGGTAGCCGGGCTGTGCTGGGACCCGGAGCCCAGAAGCCACAGCCATGGCCCGGGCGCACTCACCCCTGGAGGGCGGGAAGCTGGAAGCGCTCAATGCACAGCTGGACAAAGGCTCTGAGGTCCGTCTTGCTGATTCCGCCTATGGGGTTGATGTCCGCACTGGAGCAGTCATACTTGGTCAGGTAGCCGAGGAGACTGCAGCAGGACAGAGAGCACATGGGCCTGAGGGGCTGCAGATTCCGCCAACCCTGGCCATCCCAGAACTGGCTTCCTTCAGGAGCCCAAGAGCCACACCCTAGCAGATTTGAGGGTCCAGGGAAGCCTGGTATGGCTGGAGCAGACTGCAGTGGGGTGGGGATGGGGGGCCACAGATGATTGTGGACAAAGGCTAAGCCAGGAGACGCCTGGGCGGGGAAGCGGGTTCGGGAGTTAGCAGCGTCCAGTTGGAGCAGCCTGTCTGAAAGGCAGGGCCAGGTGAGCAGAGCTGAAGGACAGACGTCCCGAGGGGGAGGTGGGATCTCAGCGTACGTGGACACTCAGCCTGGCGGCACCAGGGCCCTCTCCTTGCCTGTCAGCTCTGACTCCCGTGGTGGGCAGAAGAATGCTCCCCCAGAGATGCCCACGTCCTGGTCCCCAGAACCAGAGAGAATGCCACCTCACGGGGCAACGGGTCCAGGTGAACACTGGGAAGGGACATGATCCTGGATTGCAGGGGTGCCCGAAATGCAGTCATAGGGTCCTTAGGAGTAGAAGAGGGGTGAGAGGTGAGGGTCAGAGAAAAGGCCTGGAGATACAGAGCTGCTGGCCATGCAGACAGAGGAGGGGCCACGAGCCATGGAAGGCGGGGCTGCCAGAAGCCGGACAGGCAGGAAGCAGATGCTCCCCGGGGCCTCCAGAAGGACACAACCCGGCCCACACCGTCACTGGAGCCCAGTGAGCACCCAGCTGGACGTCCATCCTACAGAGCCGTGGTGCTGCTGAAGCCACAGACTTTGCGGTCATTTGTCATGGCAGGCACGGGGAACCCCCCACCTCTTCTGTGGACCCTGCCCTGACCACCCCACCCTGCCACAGCTGCAGTGGTGCAGGCCCCTGGGTCCCGGCCCATCTCCTCCATGCCAAGTACCTCTGTCGCCTCCATGGTGACTCCCGGCCAGGTCCCCACTGCCCGGTCCCCTCGTTGGTGCCCTTGCCCTTGCAAGGCCTTCTGGGTTGGTCCCTGCCCACGTCACCAGGTGCGATTCTCCCACCCCAAACTCACACAGAAACGCCTCCTCACCCCTCCTGACTCTCACCACGGAGCAGTGCCTGGGCGTAAGAGCCCCAGGGCCAGCCAGCGCTGCTTTCAGGCTCGAGTGCGGTCAGGCGGCCCCTTCCTTTACACACCCTGGGGACGCCCCATGGCCCTGCCCTGAGTGCCCCCTCCCAGCAGCACAGTTCAAGTGGAGACCCCTAAACAGATAAAAGCCACAACTAAATTAAAATTAGAATCAGGAGCAATGAAAAAACAGAATTAGAAGAAATGTTTTTAAAAACCAACACCATAAACCTGAGATTCTACCCCAGAATGTAAAGGAAGAGGAGGCAAGGCTGGAACCAGCGAGAAGAGAGCAGTGGATGGGAAGGCAGCCAAGGACAGAAACAGCCAGGACAGAGAAAGCAGAATTAAAACGTTATGGGAGTTTCCTCAACTGCAGGCAGACCTCTGTCCATTGATGAGAAATGCTGAACAGCAAAAAGTGATGGAAAGAGATGAACACCTAGGTTTGTTTATTTTCTAAATACACACCTAGAAACCTTGAAGCTCAACCCAACCCTACTGTGGGAAAAATTTTAAATACCAGAAAATAATGGATAAGAGTGGTGAGGGGAAAATGTTACAACAATGTAATTTGGTAACAGGTCAAATTCTTGTTCATCTACAAAAGCAAAACCAAACAAAAGATTAATATTCTTGCCTATGCCAGAGCATAAAATACATGCCAATCATCACACCCTTCCTGAAAAAGCAGTTCCTTAACAAAAGCACCGCAGGCAACAGAAAAGCAATGAAAATTCACAAAATGTGCATGGGGCGGGTGGGAATTTTTTTTACCAGGTATAGAGTGTTAATTTCAAATTGTTGTAATCAGAAAAATAAAATAGGGTTTAAATGTCAAAAATAAAATTTAAAAGAGAACACATTTTCAGACATGCAAGATGTAGAAAGATTAAGACACTCGTGCCATAGATAAAAGGATGGATTGACACAAAGAGGAAGGAGGGAGGGAGGAAGGGAAGGAAACGTGGATGGACGGATGGATGGATGGATGGATGGACAGGTGGGTGGATGGATGGACAGGTGGACAGATGGGTGGATGGATGGACAGGTGGGATGGGTGGATGGATGGACAGGTGGGTGGATGGATGGACAGGTGGACAGATGGGTGGATGGATGGACAGGTGGGTAGATGGATGGACAGGTGGGTGGATGGATGGACAAGTGGGTGGATGGATGGACAGGTGGACAGATGGATAGATGGATAGACAGGTGGACAGATGGGTGGATGGATGGACAGGTAGACAGATCGGTGGATGGATGGACAGGTGGGTGGATGGATGGATGCATAGACGCAGAGACGAGCAGGTGAATAAATGACAGATGAACTTTTTGAAATCCCTCAGCCAATAAGGAGCAACTGGGAAGAGCAAAGGGAAGAGCTGAGAGGAGCAGAGGCTCACCTATGGCAAATGGGGAGCCCAAGCTTGGAAAAGAAGTGCTAACAGCCTCCACCACTGGCCTTGAAGGGCAGCTTGAATTTTATCTGGAAAACAATAGGGAGTCTCTGAAAGTCTTTAACAAGGAAGCAGTATGAGAAAGGCAGTATCCTCAGTTCTCATAAAAAACGAATTCTCTGGTTTAGAGGTGAAATCCAGGTGCGAAGATGTGACCTAAGACGCAGAGGAGAGGACAGGAGAAAGGGCCTGAGCGTGGAGCCAGGGGTGGGGAGCTGACTGCAAGGCACAGTGTGGACGAGGAACCCCAGGGCTGGGCGGAACTGGGTAGCGCTGGGGTAGGGTTGGGTGGGGGCAGCCGAGCATGATGTTGATTCAATCCACCACTCTTGTCATTAAGAAATTTCGGAGGAATGATGCTGCCCTGGGTACCACATTTGCCATGTGAGACCCGGGAGGACAGGAGTCTCCTCCCCGTGTCTCTCCCAGACACCACAAGAGTCAAGAATCCCCGCCTCCCGCAGCAAGTTGCCCTCGGGGATTCGAGCCGCCCAGGAGTGTGCCACGTGTGCCACCGCACACACTCACCTCTCATCCACGTTGGCGGATCCCAGCACGAGGAGCCCACCGCGGATGCCCCGAGACCAGAGGCTCAGCTGAGCAAACAGGTAGGCGAGGACCATCCTTATCCGGGCCTGGACAACACGAGGGGGACATAAAGGGTTACCCTGGCCAGGCCGTGAAGCCCTGTGACCAATGTCTCCAGCGAGGCATGCAGGCTGCCGACCCCAGCCCCGCACCCCCCGTGGGGACGACGGCCCAGGCGGGAGGCACCTGCACATTCTGCAACGCCAGGTTCTCCCTGCTGCTTCCTCCATGAGCCGCAAACAGGGGGCTCTTCCCCGTCACCAGGCTGAAGATGCCCACGACAGCCTTCACGGCTGGGTCGATGTTGAGGCCGATGTGGTGGCTGGAAGGAGAAGGGTAAGCGTGGAGGGCAGCGTGCCCGTGTGCGCGTGCGCGTGTGTGCACAGAAACACATGGCATGGCACCGCGGTGCCCACTTTAAAGTGTACGGTTCAGTGGTGTTCAGTACATTCACGTTGTATCACCACCACTACCGGGTCCAGAACTTTCTCATCATCCCAAAGGAAATCCCGTCCCCGTCAGCAATCTCTCCCCATCCTCTCCTCCTCCAGCGTCCAACAAGCACTAACTACTTTCTGTCCCTGGGGACGTGCCTGCTGGGACACTTCACAGAAAGGAAGCACACGCTATGTGGCCTTTTGTGACTGGCTCCCTTCGCCCAGCATGATGTCTGCGAGGTCCACCCGTGTCGTAGAGTGTGGCGGTGCGTCACTGCCTTTTATGGCTGAGTGACATTCCACGGTGTGGACAGACCACAGTCATCTGCTCATCAGCTGATGGACACTCGGCAATCGTGAATGACGCTGCGACAGACGTTCTTGTGCAAGTGTCTGTTAGGGCCTCGCTTTCAACGTCTTTGGGTGCGTGTCTCGAAGTGGAATTGCGGGGCTGGGGCAGCTTTTAGCTGAGCTCATCCAACAGAACAGGCAGTTCCTCATTTTCCCCTAAGAGGCGTTATGAATGGAACATTGTAGAAGGAACTTAGCGTCCCCTCTCTGGAAAGGGGCCCTTTCTCCACCATCCTCATAGAAACCTGCCCCGTGGAAAGGCAGCTGGGCGGGGGTGGGGAAAGGGCATGAGTCGCACTGCTGCCTACCTGCCGAGCACCCAGGGAGCACATGCCACCTGCAGCCTGCGCCTGGGGTGCAAGAAGGCAGGAAGGAAGAGTGGAAATCCTAGACACAGTCCAAGACTTGGGGGTGGGGAGGACCGACGTACAGTTCCCCTGAGATCTGGCTCAGACCAAGAGAAAGTAGAAAGCTGCTCAGCTCTCAGATGCACGTTTAAACACAAATGCAGTCACGGGTGGAGTTTTCAGCAGCTCTGATCTTCGTCAAAGCAGCCTGCCCGTGCCCAACACCAGGGGCCAACTCTACCTTCCAATCTGCTGGGCCAACTCTCTGGCCCTGTTGCGTGTCTCCTGGGAGGAGTTCTCGCTGGCCATGTAGCAGGTTGTCAGTATGCGTCCACAGAGGTCTCGGGGGTCCTCAGGGGTGTAGCTGATCTCGTTCACAATGGTCTGGACATCAGCCAGCACTTCCTGATCTGAAACCACCAGGACAGAAGGCGTAGAAGCCACTGGCCATGTGCGAGGTGTCTGTACAGCTCCATCCCAGGTGACAGCCCCAGGTGCCGGCATGGCTCCACCCAGGTGACAGCCCCAGGTGCCGGCACGGCTCCATCCCGGGTCACAGCCCCCGGTGCCGGCACGGCTCCATCCCGGGTCACAGCCCCAGGTGCCGGCACGGCTCCATCCCGGGTTACAGCCCCAGGTGCCAGCACAGCTCCACCCGGGTTACAGCCCCAGGTGCCGGCACGGCTCCATCCTGCTTTTGCGCCGCACACGCTAAGGCCATGCTCAATGTCAGCATGGAGAGGGGCGGATTTCCACCTCCCGAGCCTGTGTTCTTTCCGCTGGGCCACACTGTGGACAGAGCAGCAGGTAGATGCAGCTCTGGAGACATAGCCTCCTCAGATCACAGCCCCAGGAAGAGGCTTTGATGGCCTTGCTGCCCCAGGACCTAGGCATGATGCTGTGACATCTGAGCTTGGCCACAGCCTCCTTCAGCCCCGAGGCCCACGAGCTGGGTTTCACCTCTGCCCGCTCCTCGGCTCCCCCTCCCTTCCTTGGGCCCTTGGATGTCACCTACTTCCACTCTTCACAGCCTGGCAGACCTGGCGGCACATGGAGTAGACGATGCAGGCGGTGGCCGCGCTGTCCACCCCGCCACTCAGGGGCAGGAAAAACCCCGCCTGGAATGGGCCAGCCAAACACGGTGTGAGCAGAGCCACGGGGAGTGACGCGCCCAAAGATTAGCCCAGGTCCACCTGGGGAACCTCGGCGAGGCGCCCACGGAAATGCACGTAGGGGTCAGCGCCTTGAGGGGAGGCAGGGACAATGCCCACGCCTGCCAGAACACATGGATTTTCCGGAGGGAAAAGAGACCCTTTGCTCTGGGTGTGTCTAAGGCTGACTCTCCGCCAGTGAATTACGGACACAGGATGACAATGAATGACAGGCGGCGCCAGGTAACCCTTGCGTTAAAAAACTCACCAGCCTGCCCGAGAATCAAACCGACCAGTAGAACAATCGAATTGAGCCGGCTGGACACTGGGCAACTTACCTGTTGGCTTCGTCTTAAAAAATCCCAGAGCCAGCAGGCGGGTCCCAGGCTGCAGAGCAACGAGAGCGCTGAGTCCGGGGGCGCCGGCCTTGCCCACGCGCACCTGACCAGGCCCCGGTCTCTGTTTCAGACACTTCATGTGAAGTGACGAGTTTTAGTTCTAAAAGTAACCCTCGGGGTAGGTGTCACCTGAGACACAGAGGGACAGCGCCCTGGTGCCCAAGGTCACAGCACGAGGGAGCAGCAGAGCTGGAGGAGAACCCCAGCAGTCTGGCTGCAGCCTCCTCCTGGCCTGGTTCCCACCCTGGGCTGCCCCCATCCCCGGGCAAACCACAGCAGCAGCTGGGCGGAGCGCAGTGACCATGCTCCCTGCCGGAGTCGGGGGCCACACACCTTATCTCCTCCTCGGGACTGTGGTACTTCCATGCGACGGGCTCAGAGACTGGCTCCAGCAGGTCCTCGTGGCACGAGAGGGCAAAGTCCACCTTCACTCGGGGATAGGGGCTCACCCTGGTGGCCTGTCAATGGAGATTCACGTCAAAATGACATCCCTGAGCTACGGAAACCCTCAAGGTTCCTGAGGCCAACGGAAGAGCAGGGCTCCGCCAGCCACTGCGCAACGCCCAGCACAGCCACAGCCAGGAGGACGGCTAGAACCGATGACAGCAGTAACAAGCGTTGGCGAGGGTGTGGAGGGCCAGCGGCCTCGTGTGTTGCTGGGGGGGTGCACAATGGTGCCGCCTGCTAGGAAACAGCATGGTGGCTCCTTAAAAGGCTAAATAAACACAGCGTCACATGACCCAGCGATTCCACTCCTGGACAGACACACCCAAGGAAAACAGATGTCCATTCAAAAACTGGTACGTGGGCTGGGCACGGTGGCTCATGCCTGTAATCCTAGCATTTTGGGAGGCCGAGGTGGGAGGATCGCTTGAAGCCAGGAGTTCAAAACCAGCCTGAGCAAGAATGAGACCCCATCTCTATAAAAAACTAGAGAAATTAGCCGGGCATGCTGGCACATGCCTATAGTCCCAGCTCCTCGGGAGGCTGAGGCAGGAGGATCACTTGAGCCCAGGAGTTTGAGGCTGCAGTGAGCTGTGGTGACATCACTGCACTCTAGTCCTGGTGAGTGAGACCCTGTCTCCAAAAAAAAGAAAAAAAACTGATACATCAATGTTCATGGCAGTACTATTCAGAACAGACGAAAAGTGGAAACGTTGCAATCGCCCGTCAATGGATGGATGCATGGACGAATATTCTGTTCAACAGAGTATTATTTGACAATACCAAGGAAGGAATCACTGACACACGCTACAACATGGATGAACCCTGACAACAGCATGCTAAGTGAAGAAAACCAGACACGGATGACCACACACTACGTCTTACGCGGGCATCTACGAAAAGTGCTCACCGCCAGGTTTCGAGATGAAATCTCTGCCCTGTAGCTCCTGACGTCCTCCAAATCCAATGTGGCTGTCAAGACTTCCTGGAGAAGGAAATTTCAAAGAGAAATCATGATTTCCTGTTTTTGCTACTCCCACGTATAATTTGGTCACTGTCAAAGGTGTTGCATGTGAATGAGTCACACCTTCTAAAGCAGGGGCTGAAGACCTGTGGATCTTTAGGGGCTCAGGGACAGGGGACAGACAGTGTTGTTGCCAACCCAAAGCCTTTCCCCCTATTACTGCCACCAGATCTCCACAGCATTCAGACACTTGTCAGTGATCCATTAATTATTGCACCAGACGTAAGTCTGTCAGTGTCTGGCAGGGGCTTCTGGGAAAGCTTTTCTCTTATTAAAAAGACACACAGGAAGCAAGGGCCTCTTTTCTGCCTCTGAACATAACTGTAAAGATGAGATGGCTGGAGCTGCTGCAGCCATCCTGGGACCACGAGGAAAGGCAACCTGAGAATGAAGCCAAACCTAAAGAAAGGTGGAACCCTAGAGGAATGACCCTCCTACTCATATCGACATTGGGGCAGAACTCAAAATTACTTTTTGTTGTATCTGTGCAATTAAAATTTATTTCCATTTTTGGTAATAACAGCCCTCCTTTCCTTTTTACTTCAAAAAAACAAAAGTGAGAGCCATACAAATTTCTCCAAGGGTTTTTTCATCCATTGTCTCTTCTCTGTGAAGGAAATTAATGTCCAATGTGATAAAAATAAATTGGAGAAACTCTGCCCCTATGTTAGCATGCATCTTTAGAGGTGGAGATTGTATAGCTTTCATCAGCTTCTCAAAGGAATTTGTGGCCTCAAGGTCATGAACCCCCTTCCAGGGGTGGCTCAGTTGCCAGTGAAGATGACGCAGTTGTTATTCTTGGCTTTGTTCTCTTTGTCGTCTGATCCCTGACTCCTCACATCCCTGTGCGACCTCAGCACAGTAACGGCACCTCTCAACTGTAACAGCTTCCCTGAGTCCGTCCCTCACCCTGCCGGCCATCGTGTGTTCAGAGAGTCCCCCAGAACAAGGCCTCGCCCACTGGAGCGTGCCGGGGTCTCCACGCCTGCTCCTCAGGATGCAGGGGGCAGTGCGGGGTAACCCTGCCTCCCACAGCCCCGGGCTGTTCCGTCTGTGCCTGAGCACACCCCTGTGGCCCTGCGTGGCAGGAGTCCTCCTCCCAAGGCTGAGCGCGTATGTGACTCGTAAACTGCCGTCACCCTCATCTGTCCAGCGCCATGTGTCCTGTGCTGTGGGTCCAGCCATGCCCAGAACCCAAGGACGGGAATTCCTCCCACACCAGTGAGGTGGAGAGGAGGCGATCGAAGCAGGCGGGCACTGCGGGGCTTCCCCATGAGTCCTCGCTGAACACCGGGGAAAGTGAAGGGTCAGCCTCCGACCCAGAGAACTGACGTGGCTGGGGGGAAACGCCCCCCCGCAGCTGCACGCACGCTTGCTCCTTACCACGTCGTCCAGAGAAAACTGGGATCCCTGAGCAAAAATGCTCCCATTCATCGCTATCATGGCGCAGCCGTCGTAGTAGAGCCGGTCCCCGTCACAGCCCTTCTGGTTGGCCAGCAAGTAAATCCCACCGTTCTGGAAAAGGCAGAGCCAACGGTGGAGCTGCCAGCTGTGGTCCGTCACCCTCACCTGCCACTGGCCAAACGCGGGAGACTTGGCCGTGCCATCTCCAGCCTTTCTCCCCGGCCCGATCCCACCGCGTCACCACCAACACCCCTCCCGAGGGAAGAACACGCGTGCACAGGCAACACGGAGCCGTGCAGCTGCGACGTGCTGGGCCTGCCCGGGCACCGGGCGTTACGTAACACCTGCTTTTGGTTCATCACCACCCTACAAGGCAGGCCCTGTCATCTCCGTTAGAAACGACGAGACTCAGAGAAGCCAGATCTGTGCTGACGAAGCCGAGATTCAAACCCAGCCCGGCTGCGTCCACACCTGCCCCGTGAACGACTGAACAGCACCGCCTCTCTCCACGCCTCACTGCCCAACACGAGCAGCAAGCGCGTGGGCCTCTCCTATGGCCCGCCATGGTGCCAGCGGACAAGTGGCACGTTCTGGCTCCTGGTCACAGTGGAGATGGCGACAGGACCCACTTCACAAGGCAGCCGCGTGGGTATAGATGAGGCCGTGCAAGGGAAGCCCCAGGAGCGCAGTCAGGGCATGCTTGTTGAGTACGGGATGTAATTACAAGCAGGAATGTCCACCACACATGAGCAGAGCCCTGCACTAGGCGCTGAGGACTCAGGAGTGCTCAGCGCACAGCCCCCACACCAAGGGTCATGCTCCGGCAGCCTGGCCCGACACCTACCTTGGTGGTGGCCATGGTCACCAGATCCACCCTGGCGTGGGCTTTGCGCAGCACGTGGTGACTGCCCGAGGCGTTGGTCATGATCTCCACGCCATCCAGGCCCATGTCGACGTGTGGGCTGCGGGCAGAGGCAGGTGCAGAGGAGAGACCCCTGGGCTCTTCCAACCCCCTCCCGGGCAGCCGTTCACTCTGCCGCAGCATCTCCACGGCCACGGCCCCAGGACATCAGCAAATCCCAGGTCCTCCCAGCTGGCCCGTGTGAGCGGGACCCGCACAGCACGCGGGAGAGGGGCTGACCTGCGGGGCGTCCAGAGCTCCTCGCAGATCTCACTCCCGATGCAGGTGTCCTCGGTGGCCAGCACAGCATCTCCGAAGGGCACCGTTTCCTGCCGTCAGGAGACGAGAGAGCACAGACTCACTGGCCACGCCCTGTCTGGGCCACACACTGACCTGGGAACCCAGACGTCCTCTCGCAAAGGCTGTCTCTGTGTTCCAAACCCTAACCTGCATCCTTCCTCCACCTGAACATTCCCGGCCCAGGCGGCTGCCCCTGCTCAGCTGATCCCTAAGGGCCTCCGGTCACACAGCTCATGAGCCACAAGCCCTGCTCTGAACTACCACCGAGCTGACAATGGCTGCGACAAACTGTGACTTAGCTGTGAAGTATCTGTCCCTGGGCACAAATTTCCATCTTCATCATCGTTAATAACAATAGCTGTCATTCATCAAGTGTTTTTTTATGTGACACAGAGCTAAGCAGTTTTTTTGCTCTCTTGACAGTATTACCAGGTAGACTTCTCATCCCTATTTGCAGAAATGACCTAATTTAGGGTGACAAAAAGTCGCCCAGCTCCTGAGTGGCAGGGCCAGAGGCAGAGTGCAGATACATCTGTCTCTAAGAGGCATATTCACAAACCGAGAGTCATGGGGGTTTCTGGGGCAGGGACAGAGTCTTCTCCTGTGGGTGCCATATGGGCCTAATGAGGCGCTGGAATCAGGGGGTGCAGACAGGGCAACATCAGGGGAGCGATGGCCTGCCTAAAACACATGCTGACACCTCTAGCATGTGCCAGCTTGAGCCCAACTTGGCTACCTCTCTCAGTGCCAAGGTTACAGTACGGTATTGCTTTGCTCGGCCAAGAAATCCCCTGGGAGACCTCGAACAAATCCCAGAGCTCTTGGTTGGGGTTCCTTGACAGCTGTGAGTTCAACTCCCTATATGAACAAGGGCAGGAACTAAGACAAACCCAGGCCCTTTCCACCAACAAAGTCACTGTTCGCTTGTGGCCACAAGGCAAGCCCTCAGCCCAGGACCACGGCACTCACCAGGTGCCTCCGAAGCCCCACCTCGTGGGCAGGGCTGGAATCCTGCCTCCATCTGACACCGGGGCTCATAGCAGCGAGTGAATGGAGCCCCGGGATGTATCCACGACGCGGACTGTCCTTGCTGCAGCAGTGACAGGGCTGTCTTTGCTGTGCTCTCGAAACCTTCCTTGAACCTTAATCCCCATTCGCGCGGGGCCAATTTGTGTAACTGAGCCTTGATCGACTAGACTAAGCGGAATCGTTCATCTGCGGTCTGCACCCCCACGTCGGTTTCGTGGGCGTACGACAGGATCGGCAAGGAGAGACGGCAATGAAAGTGGAGCGCGTCCCCCGGCTAGAGGCTGCAGCTGAGAGGTGTGTTCCACTCACGCACGCACACCCTGTGTTCTGGGTCGTGAAGATGTCACCATGTGTGCACTGCTGTGGTCCCCGTCAGAGAAGCTTCCAGGTCTCCTGGGAGGTGACCCAACCTGGCAGAGAGTCCCTTCCCCAAATGTCGCCCAGCCATCCCTGGCTGCCAACATGGAAGGCCCCGAGCCCAAGCTGGCCCTTCTGCGTGCCCCTCTCAGGGTTCGGAACCGGTACCAGCACCCTGCCCTGGCTCCTGCTGGAGGCAACCTAAGTCCAAGCACCTATGGCAGACGCTGTTGGCCAGGTGAGTGAGGGGCACAGGAAGACCCCGCGGCAACGAGGAAACGGGGCTGGTGCCCGTGAGAGTGGGGTGCAGGCGTGAGACCCTGCGGCTCCCGGCCCACCTGCTGTTAGAAAGACTCAATGTGTCACTGTAACAAATGATACTCTCTTCATTACATCCTTATGACAAATCCTCCCCACCCAGACTTTTTATTTTGGGGGTTTATGTTAGAAGAATCACATCGCACGGCGACGGTGGTAACAGGTGTCGAGATTGGGAGCCCACAGAGAAAGGAGCCCAGATGGACCCGGAGTGAGGAGCAGGCAGCGGGGCCCCTCGTCCCCAGGGGAGGGCCTGGGCCTCAGCCTGGCTCAGGCCTTAGACTCGCCCCCAACCAAGGGGAACAGAGCGGGGCCAGAGAAGTCCAGCTGGCAATGGGGTAGCAGCGCGCTGGCCGCTCAGGTGCCCAAAGTCAGAACAGCCCCAGGCCACCACTGCCCCCGAGAGCAGGCTGGGGACGAGGTGTGAGAAGGAACCTTCGTGCAGGGTGCAGGCCCCTCCGCCACGAGCTGCACGCTGGGGCAAGTCACTCGACCCTCTGTGCCTGTGCAATGAAAATGACACCACTGCTTTGAGACTAAGTCGATTCAAGGAAGTTCTGGAAACGTCCCCAGCGTCTACCTCCCTCACTGAACTCCCTTCTCTGCAGCGCCCACTCCAGAGCCCTAGAGTGCCGTGACTCGTGGTGCCGAGATCTGGTTACAGGCCGAAGCGTGCAGCCCACAATTGCGCTGAAGACTCAGTAGCTCACAGTGCGACCTCACTGCAAAACAGGGCCATTACAGAGGTTCGTTAAGTTTAAATGAGGTCAGTAGGGTGGGCCCCAATCCAGTCTGACTGGGGCCCTTCAGAAAGGATCAGGACACTGACACACAGAGAGGTGGCCCTGCAAGGACACGGGGAGAAGGCGGCCGTCTGCAAGGCGAAAGAGAGGCCTCGGGAGGAACCAGTCCTGCCCACACCTTGGTCTCGAACCTCTGGCCCCCAAACCGAGCGGAAATAAATGCCTGTTGTTTGAGCTGCCCTGACCGCGGCACGTTGAGACGGCAGCCACGGTGACCTGGTGCGCTTGGCAACTAGAACGGAAGGTCAGGCAGGAGCCAGGGGGCTCAGGGGACACCCTCTGTGCTCACGACCCCCACCACAGGGAGAAGTGGACAGGACAGGGCCTCACCGTCCCCTCCACCCCCGCCCCAGCTGCTTCTGCAGGAGGAGGACAGACAGGGCCCCCGGAGAAGGCTGCACGGCCAGAGCCCTGCAGACCAGCCAGCCGCGGGCAGGACATGAGGCCAGGCAGGTTCCCAGTGCTGGGTGTTCACGCGAGTCTCCCCTTAGTTACACCACCAGGAAAATAAACAACCTAAGCTCGGCTTCTCGGGCAACCCCTTCCAACAGCAGACAGCCTGTGAGGACGGGGCAGGAGACACCCCCGCAGACCCCACCAGGGGTGGCGCTGAGGAACCCTGGGCTAGGGACGTTCTCCCCATGGGCAGAGGCTGGGACACAGAGGCCAACCTAGGAGCTCGGGCCATGTCCAAGGTTTGTCATTCCTTCATCCATTCGTTCGCTCCACCAGTGTCCACTGGGCATGGTGGAGGGGACCCCACAGGTAAGCGGAAAATGGTAGAAACCCAGCCGCTGCCCAGGGGCTTCCTGCTAGCCAGGGAGAGGGACGATGAGCTGTAAATCAGTGGATGCTCTCACGTAAGTGACAGAGGCTGGTGGGGCTGAGAAGGAAGACGAGGCAGGTGGGGGATGACTCAGAGGGGGTGACGGAGAGGCTCAGTCACCCGGCACAGGCCCCGATGACACCCAAGAAGGTCCAGGGGAGTTTCTGTAACTGCCCTCTCCTTCTCCACTCCAGAGCTGGGGACGCAGCCTGTGAGCGCTGGATCTGACCCCGGGGTCTCACACTGAGCTGGCTGCCCTGGGGCCTGTGCATGGGAACGCAGTATTCCCGGGAGCCCAGGGGCGGGATGTCACGGACACAGACGGGGCTGCCAACCCAGGACAGTCGCCTCTGAAGCCACCTCTGTCCTGTGATCACATGGTGACAGCTGCTGACCGCAGGGTGAGTCAGCCGTGCCCCCCACCCCCAGCCACAGGATAGTGGCTGGGATGGGGACATAAGGGTCCCTTCCCTAATAATTTAAAATTGGAAATAGGACATTTTGCTCTCACGCTAGGTAATCCTTAAATCTGGGAACTATGAGCCCCGAGGGCAGGGAAGGCCACCTGCTGCCACGTGGGGGAAATGGAGAGGAGGAACCAGTCGTTAGTACCCGCCCAAGATTTCCTTTCCGGAAATACCTGAGGCTCAGCTGGTCTCCGGAACAAGGACCAAAGCAGACACTCCTGCAGAGACGTGGGAGCAGGCCAGGCCTCATAAACCCTAAAATAACTCTCACTCATACCTTACTTGCTGTAAAACATACAGCTACAAACCCTAAATGCTTTAACCAAGACCCCTAAGAGGTTATTTGAGATCTGTAGTATCTCCCTGGTATAAGTTTCTAACTGGGAATGGTTATGAATTTCCTTGTTAAATGAGAAAAATATTTTACCTATATACCCTCATTCCCATAATCTCCTCTATTTGCTTCCCATATTCCTTCTCTCTTCACACCTAAAACCTCCTGGTTCCCTATAAACCTCACCAGTTGCCCTACTAGTCTGACATAGAACAGGATAAAATAATGGCCACTAAATAAAACAGTTCCACTGTAAATATTCCCTGAGGCGCCCCCTTTTCAAGACACTTCTATTATAAGGCTCTCACCAAATATGCCCTACAAAAATATTTGCCTGAAAATGCCTCAGGAAGATTACTGAGGGGGTCTGATCAGATAGGATATTACGTAACAACAGATATTGGTGATGACAAGCTTAGACAATTGCCTGGATGTGATGGAAGAAACCCAGCTGCCCCGTGTAAACCGCTGCAGCCCAAGGCCCGAACCCACCGGCTCTGTGCTTGTGGCTGGACACCCCTGTCCAGCACCAACCACACTGACACTGCCCTTAAAGAACTATTTATGGGAGTCAGTTGGTGGACAGAAGTTCCCAACAGTACACATTCCACCCTAAGGCAAGGGCACCTCTAAAAAGCCTCATAAAATACCCAGACCAGGGCATACTTAGAAATGACCCTCGCTCACCCATCGATTGTTTCGGACACCAGTGATTCCAGATTGACTCCATTTATCCAAATTACACTGATGCCGTTAACACACAACGGCAACAACATTCCTGGGTAGACACACAAAAACTGGCCAATTGAAAGACTGAAACATGGCCTCCTTAGAGAAATTAGAACTGGGATAGGTATGTTGAGACAAGCAAATTCGCTGCTAATGAGGAGAGACATTCCTTAGAAAAAAAATCCCTTTCAAAAATAGGCCACATAGAAGGAATGCTATTCTGAAAAGAAAAAAAAAAAAAAAAAGATTAAAAAAATAGGCCACATAGAAGGAATGCTATTCTGAAAAGAAAAAAAAAAAAAAAGAGATTAAAAAACTATGCTAAATGATAATATAACACTTGTCAAATGAATAAAAGAGATCAGACAAGCCATAAAAACACACTTCTAAACCAAAAGATGAGAACAGACACGTATCTAACCCAACAAGGGCCCTTGTCCACGCTATTACAAATGAAATCTAAGATAGCTGTAAAACAATGGCCTGCAATGCTCGGTGCTAAGACACGATATAAGGACCTATACAAAAAATATATAGTCCCCCAAATTTATAAAAATTTTTAGATGGTGAATGTGACCTCAGACATTATATTCTTGAAGCTCAAAAGCCTAACCATAGAAAACATTCTACAGTTCAACTAACAGACATCAGGAACATGATAAATAGCAGGAAGACAGTCCCCAGGAAAAGCAGATGGGCTATTCTAGCTAATAAAACACACAGCATCCTATCTCCCTGTTGGATGGTAAAAATACAAAACAGAAGTGGTTATGCCCTCAAACCACTTAAAGCCCCGATTTCTCTCAAATTTGACCTCTAATATCCACTCTCAAGGGACATAACAATTAATATATGAAAAAGGGCCCTTTTGGAGGGATAACAAAATAACACTACAAAATTATTTGATTTCTCCTGTAACAAAACTTCTTTTTCTCTCCCTAATACTAGTATATGATACAACACAAGGTGGTGGAAAAAATAGATTTGTCAGCTATAAACAGGTCCTATGACAATTTAGACATTAAAGTTCAGATATTTCTCAAATTTGATTTATACCTTCAAGATGTTATACCTATAGAGACCAACTGCCCCCAAAATTACATTTATTAGCTTCTAATTTGGTGTTGGTCTTACAATCCTCAAACAAGATTTACTATAAGGTCCCAATGACCATTGATAGAAAGGATAAACACATTCTAAGTCTGATTAAAAAATACAATGGTATACGCAGGAGATTTTTCAGCTACTTAGGTTGTTTACTACCTTTCTGAGTCTACCTATAACTTTCTTAACACCTAATCTTCACCAATTTTATGACGTTTATCACTATAATATCATTATATTAATATATCTCTTATAAATACTAGGCCAGATTAAACAAAAAGATACAATCGAAGACCCAGATCCTGATACCTCATAGAATAGATCTGATCCCAGGTGTCTTTTCAGACTAAATCCAGGGCCTGACTCTCTCTGACCCCTTAAATAACTGCCTGTTAAATCAGTCAAACCATATCCTTCCCCTAAGATTTGATATCGCTATTATTAAAACACACCAGATGCCCAGATAGACAACTCTAGGCATGAGCCCTCCTGGCCTGAGCCCTCCTGCTGGCTGCACGTGCAACCCTAGGATGACCTTGGCCAAGCGGGGAGCTGAAGACTAGACTCTGACCTTCTTTTTTTTCTTTTGCCCAAATTCCTTTCTAAGAAGCCTGGTAAATCATACCTACGAATGATAAAAATCTCATTAAATGGGCTTCTATTAACCCGGTATAATGTGGCTTACTTTCCCACCTGATTCTGGTATAACATCACATGACAGATAAAAGAGCCCCCATCTTAACTCAAACATTCCTTTCTACTGACTCCAGGTCTTGGACAAAACTTAACTCTTCCAACGGATTACTAACTAAAACATCCCTAAAACCCACCTATGACTCATAAGCCATAAGATGTTCTACCTCTTCAGACCAACCGATATATACTTTCCATATATTGATTTTTTTATGGTTTTACCTATAACTCCTGTCTCCATAAACATATAAAACCAAACTATAACCCAGCCGCCTCACACACATTTTCTTAAGACCTCTTGAGACTATATTGCCCGGGTTGCAGTCACATTCAAATAAAAATAAACCTCTTTAATGTATTTTACAGAGTTTGGATTTTTCCGTCGACAAGTTCCTGCCCCACACGGTCCACCATTAGCCTGGAATAGTGATGACTGACTGAAAACAGTTTTATACCCAAGGACTCACCTGCTTTGTCAGGTCCTGTATCATCCGAGGGAGGAAATACTCCTCTATTTGCCTGGAAAGGAAACACACAGATATGAGGAGGACCATCTCAGGAAAGATGGCATCTAAATGTAAACAAAAATCAAACTGAGAGCTTCGAATCGACGAATCAGCAAAGGAACTGACAAGTGTCCACGCAATGCCGTAAACTATGACTCTGAGATAAGAAGAAGAGTATGACAGAGGCTGGATGAGACCCCCGTGTGTCTGGCTACATGACACCACGGGGCCTCGGGCTCTCACAGGCCCCGCTGCCTCTGCTTCCCCACTTGCTGATGTGCAGCTTTTCCAAGAGACATGTCGCAGGGGGATTTGCTGAAAACACGTCACGCCTGCCCACGGGGAAATTCCTGAACCAGAAAAATCATTGGCATTAAACCAATATACAATCACAAACCTGTATCATCACTGAAATCATACTGCTCTAAACTTACAAGATGGGAAGGAGGGTTTCACACACAACTTCAGTACAAGGTGTCCCAAGGTGCTGTACTAAAAGATCAAATCTTAAAAATTGATGGTGCACACATTTCACTTCCAATAGGCTGTTAGAAGATGCAACATTTGGAGGTTAATTAGCTCTATTTCTCTTTGGCTTTCTTAGAATTCACAAGAGCCTTCTGGGCATGGTTTTAGCAGCTCTTGTTTACTTAAGAAAACGTTAACATTTGAGAAATTGAGCAAAGATGCCTTCTCTCCCTCACTAATGTAGGGAACAGGGACATGAAGATGCCCGACAGACCTCCAAGCTTCTGGGCCATCCCATAGCGAGCGCTCAGTTTGCCCTCGGCAGGTCTGTTGATAGCGATGGTGTGGCACCAACATTTATCTTACAGGTGAGAGCCGTCCACACGGCTCCCTCCATCTTCGCCTGCTTCAGTGCAAAGATGCAGTCAGTACCAGGCCAAAGAAAGACACTGGGACAGCTGCACGGTCAACTCACTCTCGCCCTCTGCTCCAAGGCCAGCTCTCCTCCTCTGTGGCCGGTGAGGCTCGCTACGGTCCCTCAGGGAGCCAAAGCCTCAGCAGTAAAAGTCCTTCGAAACTTGCCTCCGGCTGGCCCCACCCACCTGTCCAGCTGTCCTGGACCTGTCTCAGAACACTTGACCTGCTCCATGCTAATTCTCTGATTGATGCCTGCCCCAGAAAACATCCTCTGGAAAATTCCTAGCAGCATGTTTTTGCCAAAAGACCGATTTTTGGCCATGCCAAATGCAAGTCTCTGCCCTGGGAGCTACCAGAGCCCCTGTTCCTCCGTCTTGCCATGATAATAATCATTGAGTGCTTAGATTTGAGGGCTGATCTAAGAACGTGAAGAAGATGAGTCAACTCTTAGGTTCTCTGCAGGCAAGAACTGGGTCTTAGCTCTGTTTTCCTAAGGGGACCTGAAACAGCACCTTAAGCCTGTGATGCACTTTTTACGAAAGCAGGAACATAGTAACACGGTCATTTGCTGTCACCATTCTGGCAAAGCTCATGGAGGGTAAAAACCTCTGCTTTTTCTAACTGTACCAAAATATAAGTTTCTGAGCTCCAGCTCAGTCTCCCGCACCACCCCTCCCACAGGAATTAAATGAGACCCCGGGGTTCATATGACAAGCGGAGGAAAAAAGGCAAAGGAACTAATATCAGCACTTTCAAGAAATCAGAGATAACATAAACTGATAAGATATCTCAACAAAAGCACAGACAAATGGCAGGAGATAAAAAGTAAGTTCATAAAATAAGAAAAGAACTGGAAAAACTCAAAAAAAAATTGCAGATAAGAAAAGCAAAGCATGGAATAGGTCAGGGTGCTAGGCTGACGCCATGGCACTCTAGCCAAGGCAACAGAGCCAGATTCTGTCTCAAAAAAAAAAAAGTGAAGACCTCAGGGTCAGACATAAATTTAGGGGAATAAAATCACAAGAGAAAATGCACGTGAATGAAGAGACAGCGATGGATGGTGGAGAGAAGGGGAAATGAGGAAGGCGGACCCAAGAGGTGTCATACGCCACCGCCTGAGGTTCCTGAAAAATAGAACAAAAGCAAAAGCAAAAAACCTTTGAAAGTAGAAAATAAGTAAACTTCCCTGAAATAAAAAGACCCGATGTAAATTCAAAAAACCTCACGTAAAAAAGGAGAAGACACTCCTCAGCCGTTTGTGGAAGTCACTGACTCTCAAGGGCAATAGCGACATCTTATAGGCACCTCAGCAGGAAAAGCCGGCTCCCGCAAATGAAAAACTAAACCCAGGCCGGTCACGGACTTCCTCTGTAAGTTCATTGTATTGTGACGTGCATCACGCAGGAGTACAAAGGCAGGTGTGTGATCAGGGACCAGCACCGCCAGGAGCCCCACGCACTGCCCAGGGCACGGGGCAGAGCCTCGTGGGACCCCGAGCTCCCACGAGGCCGCCATCTCTCCCCTCGGAGGCATTCTCCACCCTGCATCTTGCATGCCTTTGTTCTTTTCCCAACACCTGTATCCTTAAACACTCTCGAGCGCCTGCTTGTTTCTGAACCTGACGTGAAGTGAATTGAATTGAATCACGTCGTCATTATATGTTCTGTGTCTTTTCTTTGTAGCGGCTATCCTAGAAATTTTGTGATGTGTATTTAACTTAAAGTCAAAAGTTAATCAGTGATTTTACTGTCCTATAAAATAGTGCCCTATTGATTTATGTGCATAGCTGTCCAGTGATTTAAGGCTGGCCTATTTTCTGCTCCACATTAGACACTGTGGTTTTTATTTGTTTTTTTTTGAGACAGAGTCTGGCTCTGTTGCCTTGGCTAGAGTGCCGTGGCATCAGCCTAGCTCACAGCAACCTCAAACTCCTGGGCTCAAGCGATCCTCCTGCCTCAGCCTCCCGAGTAGCTGGGACTACAGGCATGCGCCACCATGCCCGGCTAATTTTTTCTATATACATATATATTTTTAGTTGTCCAGATAATTTCTTTCTATTTTTAGTAGAGACGGGGTCTCGCTCTTGCTCAGGCTGGTCTCTAACTCCTGATCTTGAGCGATCCACCTGCCTCGGCCTCCCAGAGTGCTAGGATTGCAGGCGTGAGCCACCGCGCCCGGCCTAGACACTGTGTTTTATACAGCCCGATTCATTTAAATGTACCCATAAATTTACCAATATCCTTTTTTGCCATTCCTCTTGAAATTTCAATGCTTCTGCTTGAATGATTTTCTTTCTGCCAAAGGTACGTTTAGAATTTCCATTAAGAGTCTTTTAGTAATAAACTGTTTTTGTTTCTGTCGAAATGTCTTTATTTTGTCCTCATTGTTAAAAGACACTTCTGCTGATTCTATTGTAACACTCCAGGTAGCCAGGTACCGCCCCCTGGCATTTGTCCAGCCACCACCTTCTGGCTTTTCTGTATTTGCTGCCACAAAGCAGCAGCAGATCCAGTTGCTGAATCTTTGTAGGTCTTTTTTCCTTCTGGCTACTTTTGAGAATTTGTCTTTATCTTTCCTGTTCTGCAGCTTCACAGGGACGTTTCTAGATGAGAATTTCTATTTGTGCTTCCTGTTGGGGTCCGCGGAAGTTAGTGTATCTGAGGACAGTGTCTGTAAACATTTCCACCTTCTTTATCTCCATCATCTCCTTCCGAAACACGGATGAGACCCTCGTGACACACTTTCACTCTGTCCTCTGTGTTTCTTAACTACTCTTTTAGATTTTCATCAGATTTTCTCTAAAGATTGAATTCTGGATAATTTGGGGGGTGGAGGGAATCTATCTCTCAGGTCCCTAATTCTCTATTCAGCTACGGATAATTTGCATTTTACATTCGCATTGTTATTTTTTCCAATTTCTAGAAGCATTATTTGGCTTTTTTCCTATTTATGATTGGCTTCTTATTACACTTTTGAGTTTTTTTTTTTTATTGCTTTTAGTGTATTAGGATACTTATTTTATATTCTGTGTGGAGCTCTGCAGGTCTGTGCCTGTGGTCAGTATTTTGTGGCTGGTTCTTACTCACCGTGCCTTATTTCCTTGTCTGTTTTGTGCTTTTTGATTGTGAGCTCCTATTTTACCTTAAATACCCCATCTAGGAATTCCATGTGGCCTGGATTAGATCTGAACTCCTTCAGAGGTGACACGTGTCTGCCTCTGCCTATCGTCCGTGGGTGCAACTATTTCTGGAAGGTCTCTTGGCTGGAAACTGGATACTTCCTGAATGAATCTTGAGCCCACATTAAATTAATTTCTTCTCCTGAGTCTCTTTAGGCTACACAGGTAGAGAAAATACCAACACCAGAAATACCAAATTTCTAGGCAACATTTCTCCCTCTCCACCAAGCACTGGCAGATCGAGGCACGTTTTCCAGCCTTCCCTCTGTGTAGCAGGGTTACGTGTCAGCCTCTCTTTCACTGTGGATACAGCCCTCTGAAGACTCAGCTTTATGGGGGTATCTTCTTTCGGATCCGCGCTTCGGGTGGTCTTATCCCCTGTCCCCCGCACTCCCAGGAAGTTGTCGACGCTACAGCTCAAGGTCTCCAGGTTTGGAAAAACCCCCAGGGAAAAGCCAGCTTTGCACTCACGTATCTCCCAGGGCACCTGGTTTCGCTTTGTCTTTAGGCTCAATTTATTCCACACTTTGACGCCAGCTCAGTGGTGCATATTCGGAAATGAGATATAAATGCGGATACACTGTATCCAGCATGTTAATGGTTTCACTGTGAGGGTCATTCAGGTACCTGAACTGCTGAATCTCTAGAAAAGGTGAAGCCGCAAAGGGGCAAACAGCAGACAAGGGTTGCCAACGGTTCTGTCTGAACTATGGGAAGTGAACTACTAGGGTGACGAGACACACCCTTTCCACCTCTGTTGGCAGAGAGAGGACTAGACTACGACCTCAGTGCCTGCCAGTCACAATGAGCAGCGAGCTCGCTCACCCTGCGGAGACCCTGAGAAGTCCGTGTCGGGCAGCACCAGGTTCCAGAAGTGGATTGCAAGCAGCTGAAGCAGCTGATACCTGGACGTCTCCCCTAACCCTGCACATCATCCCGCCAGAGACTAGAGTCTGCACCAGGGAGACACCAGGCGCCAGAACACCAGGCTGGGGAAAGTGGTTAGGGAAGGGGGTGTCTCAAGGCTGAAGATCAGGGTGTGTGTTAAATTAAAGTCCAAGTGGCTGAGTACGGATGCTCAGCCCAAGAGATCCCAAGATAGCTTTTTCTGGAAAAATTAAAAAGCAAAGATTTACACTATATTCATCTCAACATATGCTAAAAAGACATCTGTTAAACTCAACATCCATTTTTCAATTAATCAAAAAAAGCCCAAAGTAAAAATAGCTAGAGATAGATATAAAACTGAAAGCTAACACAGAAACAGAAAGAGCTTTTCAAGTCAAGCCAGGAAAAAGACAAAACTGCCCAAAGAATTTTGTTCTAGAAAGTATCTAGAACATCGTTCTAGAAATGTTGGCCAGTACAAGTTAAGAAAATGAACTGAGAGGGGTAAACATTGGAAAGGAAAAGTAAAACTAGTTGCACATTATATAATTTCCACTTGAAAGAAAAACCAAGAAAATCTACAGAATATTAATACTAGATACAATAAGAGAATTTAGTGGTCAATTCCAAATGCAACACACAAAAATTAAAAGCTTTCCTACATAAAGATATTAACCCCTTAAAAAACATAATGTTAAGGTCTATTTACAATAGCAACACCAATAAACATGTACGAATAACTGTAATAAAAATATAGAGCAGGAGGCCGGGCGCGGTGGCTCACGCCTGTAATCCTAGCACTCTGGGAGGCCGAGGCGGGCGGATTGTTTGAGCTCAGGACTTCGAGACCAGCCTGA